CAGAGCAAAAGATTCTCTCCATCCTTACCCTCGACTCGTCCTACCGCTCACCATGAGCGGCCTGGGTCGGAAGTAGTCCTCCGTCGTCGATGATGGCATGACGCTGTCGATGCTGACAGGTTCAGCTGTAAATGCTCTTACAGAGCATTCTCATAATTTGAAAACGCTTCTAGGCGCGCTGTCATTGCCTCGGGACCTGCGAAACAAGGTGCTTCACGCCATCAGGCCCAAGCAGGACATCAGATAATTAAGCCCGTCCTGCATGCCCTCAGGCAAAAATAATGTGTTCCTCCATCACGACGCAGGCGAAGATTTTCTACGAAAGCTACCAAGTGCAGTGGGGCTGCCGAAGCTCTTTGCTTAGAGGAAGCTAAGCTGAGGTCACCGACCTACGTTCTTTACAAAAATCAGTACGAGTACAGCGGATTGCAATCCGCTGCCTCCAATAGTACTTAAAACCTTAACCAAGACAAATAAATTTCCACTTAAAATTTTAATTGAATTAAATTGTTTTACTTGCGGCAGAGCCGCCTCCTAAATAATAAAGTAATACCTAATTAATATGCATAACCACTGGCGATTTTGTCACGTAGTGGCTTCTTGTTACGGTATAGCCACACCAAGGTGTAATTACATTAATTTGTGTAATTCACGCCTATGTACGGTAACATCATTTTGCGTGATCCACCCTCCATAAAAGGTTACGTGTATCCTCGTTACAAAAGAGTTACGGCAGCGCCGCAGCAGGGCAATGCACGTTGACCTGTCCTACCCGATTGAGCACGCCATGTTGGTAGTGCGGAGTAGGGTAAATTGGCTTCAAGTTCAATCAAGTAGACCGTCTGGAAGGAGTTTGTGGTCAAAATGCCATCAAGCATCAATGGTTGATGCTCTGAGAGTAAAGCCGTGAAGTCAATACCATCGTGTCTGCCATGTTTTGTTCTGGACCCCGGGGTAATCGTTGGAATCACCATTATTCCTTAAAAGCGTAAATTGAGCCATCATATTGCCTTTTGAGCTACCCTGTGGTGCGACCTTGCGTTTAATTCCTCAAACATTGTGATCGAGAGAGCACCGTCTTGGTGACTCGAGAAATTTGCGAACTGGTTTGCGCCAGGAGATAAGCCATCGAGTCGCAATGATAAAGATTTGTATTACGCTTCTTCATCTCCCTGATACTGTCTTGCAGCAAATTCAGTCATTGGCTCACTGCTCGTCGGCATTTGTGCAACCACCTTCGTAGAACCTTTTGGCAATTTCGACGTCTATGACGACGACAAATGTGCCAAAGGATTCAGACGTGTGGAAATTTCGACGCTCGCGGGCAAATTGGTGGGCAAGCTTTAGCCGTGTGTTAGACTCGGTGCTAGCTTCGGCTTGATGTCAAAGAGGATCTCGTCACGTACGGATCCGCTCACGATGAGCGGTGGTGGACAGAAAATAAACGCGCCATGTCATCGAGATAATGTATGTTGTCATATTTACGTCGTAAAGTACGCGTGTCGTAGAGGCTTGCACCCGATGACCAAGATCCAATGCAGGATTGTGTATGTGTCCGAGTTCGTACCCGCGTCTATTTTTGAGACTAAGAAGACGAAGTCTTCGACTCTTTGAACATGTAGACGCTGTTTTTAATTGCTGCCTTCGTGTGTTCCAGCTTTAGACTATCATCCTTGGACCACACCTAGACGTGTTGATTCCCTGAGACTTTCGATTTGACCTATTGCGTGCTCGGCGTACAGCAATATCAAGCGCGTCGCTGCCGTGGTGCTAACAGGTCAGCGACGCCATGATCTTCTGCGATATAGTATCAAGCAGACGATTACGACACTTCGTGTGACGGTGGAGCGCCTTGCGTCGTTGAAAACGGAAGTTGTTGCACTCAGTGCTTAAAACCAGTTGCTGGTTTAGCGTCTGGGTGCCCGAGCGCCTTTAGGCGCCGCCCTGGCGCCATTGCTTTTGTGTTCACTTGCGCCGGATCCTGGTACGGCTTAAGCAAGCCCACATAAAACAGCAGGTGGGTTTGCATTCTTCTCGCGTACCGTGTCTCTCAAAAGTCAAAGCGTGAGAAGTGCAACTTAAGGCTTCTCTTGCTTCATGCGTGGTGCGATGGGTATCTGTTCACATTCGGCAACGTTCTAGCACCCGATCAATCTAATGTCTCGCGCAAGCGGATTGTAAGTCTCAATATAATTCGCTATGCAAGGCCTTGAGTACTAGGTCATTGCTCCGGATGAGCCATTGGTCCCAATGCAGCTCAGCCCTCGTCGTACGCGCGTCGGTGGGTGCTGTGATATTGTATGAAGAGATAATAGTCTTATCAGCTCACCGCCAGAGACAGCAGCAGTCATAGCGCGCCCATCGCCTTGTCGTCCGGGCATCTTAAATTGGCGGGCACATATGTAGATGTGAATAAATCGCAGACAATGGAGGCGACAGGGAATCACAAGAAAATGACGGGAAAGTAAAGGTCGATTGGAATTAGCCTCGCGCATCTTGTTTTAATTGTTGCTGGAGCGGTTGAAGGCGATCTGGCCCTTACTAGCCGACGGAAGGACCGGGCATGATATGAATGAAAACCATCAAGGAGTCAACTACTATTGCATATGATCCGCTACAACTCGCGGACTAGGAAAATTATGACATGACTTATTGCAAAGACGTCAGTAAACTGTACTAAAAGATTAGGAGCTGTCATCGTGCCCGTCTGCACTCGATTAAGATAATGCGTGCTGTCATCGCAGCGACCAGAAACGTGAGAAACTTACGTGCAACAGTTCTGCGACTACAAAATCTCATTTTGCTGTTGCACCATCTTCCACATGACAGTAACAGACACCACAACACGGTCTTGATGACCTCATTATTAGATAAGTTCCATTTTAGACAGCTGCATATTGTACCAGACAGCTATTACTTCGTGCAAGCATAATGAACGTATTTTGAGTCTTTCTTTACGTGATGAGTCTCAAGTGGATCCAATACTACAGCAAAAAGACGAGGTACGATATGTAGGAGAAAGCTACAAGTGTCATAACTCTTTAGTCGTCACATCAAATTCCTTACCAATAAAGTATTGTCATACGAGCATGTGTAAGGAATGCATCACAACAAAAAACGGTCAATCCTCCTTATATTCGTCTCCCATCGCCTCTTCAATCATTCCTTTTAACTCCAATCTGGTCAGCACATAAGAATAAAATCATTTTGTCCTAAGTTTTCAAGTAGCACCCAAACGTGAGGCACTAACCGAATCTCAGACACCTCGTCTCCCTGCAGCACGTCTTTCACAAACTGCGCATCAACGCGCATTTGCACCATTTCTAGCGCACCTCGTAGTACACCGCAAAGTACATTCGAGTACCACAATACACCATACGCACTCGGCGGTAACTCCACAAATTCTAAACAGACAAAATGATAAACGTCCAGCACACATACCCACTTTGAGCCAATAAAAACACTTTACCCACCTGTTAGAGGATTATCGTGAATCAGGAGACTACATGCAGTGCCTGTTGTATTCCACTGAGAAACCTCCACATTTATACCAAGAAACATCTTGAAAGCCACCTTCGCCACTACTTCGGATGTGTCTCGAAAGTCCTGGCAATTATTTACTCCAGATTTGGCCAAAAATTCATCAACAAGCCGTACACCAATGTTATATCCCCTATAACAATACAATTTGACAAGCACGTCACATAATTATCACATTGAGCTTTTGCTTTAGCATTACATTTTGTCAAGTTGCTCGTTTACGATTTTAAGATCCTCAAAATCTTTTATGAGCTGTGTGACCAGCGCGCCATACGTCAGTGCAAATAGCTCGCCATTCTACCAAACAAAACATTAGACACAAAACCACAAGAGAAAGGAATGAAATGACCAACCACTTTTGACATCTTGTTCCAGGCAGCGTCACCCAAGCGCTGGTATGGGCGCGGTGTTGACATAGTAAATTACTTAATAGCACAAATTCTAATATGACTATAAGTTGCATAGAAATATATGATATTACTATCGTGGGGCTCGGCATATACTACCTAATAATACTACTCCACCTTTTTAGCAAATCCAAGATTCTGATTTCTTGCACCACATATATGATTAATATTCCGGCTCTACAAGTCAAGTAGGTTGTCTTCCTATTCAGTCGAACACTTCAATGCGTACTGCAAAGTCATTTCTAACACTCATGTAATTCGAGCATATTTGCTTATTTCGGTACCCACTCTAGCGATATGATTAAAGTATCTTCCGCTCCGCCACCCATGTAGAGTATGTAGGGCAAATGAAATGTGTGCGCGATTGGCTGGGTGTATTCCATGACGATTCGTAAAATACTTGTAACCAAAATCTGAATAATGAGATGTTGATGAGCTTGATAATGTTTGCTACAATCTTCGTTGGGATCACTGCCAATATTGATGAGATTCATGAGTGCGCATGATACTTGTGTTTAGTACGACAACTTTTGAAAGCATTCTCAGTTTTGCGTCCTTATATACGGTCTTGACAGTGTTGCCTGTAAGAACTTTTACTATTCACTTACAAAAGTGTCGGTCTCTTTTCGATTGCTCATAACAGCAGGTCATCTAAATTTGCGATATAGATATTGCAAGATATGTATTTTAGGTGTCGATTAGCTTAAACATAGTACATCACTCGCACATGTCAGTTACAGTCTCATAACTTGGAAGATGGTGTTACGAAGTCGTCTTGAAAAGAAATGGAACGACATCCAAGTGGGTCGTCAAGGTTCTTATTCAGTCGAACGACTTGAAAGTTTCAATGCGTATTGCGAAACTACTTCTCGTACTCGTGTAATTCTAGTATGTTTGCTCGTTCCAATACCTACTTTAGCGTTTGCGATCTTTTTGGAGTGTCTACCGCTCCGTAATCCGTCGGAGGGATGGAAAGCAAATTGGATGTTTTGGATTCGTCAGGCATTATCAGTAATTATTGCGGTTTTCTTAGGCACTTTTAGCTTCAAGATGTTTATACCGGTCTTGGAGGTGTCGCCTATTCAGACTGTTGCAATGACTTTTCTGCTTTTGGTGCTGTACATGACTACCATGCTAGTAGCCGCTAGCACGATTGGGTTTCCTCTTCCATTTATGGTACAGCTAGCAAATGCGGTGGTTGGAGCTTACATGTTGGTAGTCTTAGTGCTTGTCTTGGGCAAGTCACCATTCACAAAGGAATCTATTTGTCGGCCATATCTTCAACGGTTTCAGCGATACCAATACGCATTCTTTGCTGTAACTATCGTATATCCTTTTTGCAAAGCACTTCACGATTCATTAAATCCAACGTATCGAAACTTTATAGTGTTGATGCTGCCGATATGGAAGTTTGGTGCTAAATATGTTGTGATTAGTGCCACACGTGAACTGGAGGATATCATACCGCAAACGTTAAGTTTTACTGTGGATCTATACAGCTCGCTTTTCATGTCTGTTTGCATGTCAAGTTCTGGATCTTTACTTCTGTCTGTATCCTTCATTGTTGTCGATTTGGGACTAACATTGTTGGAATTTCGCGAACTACGGTCCAATGCATTTCTCATAGTGCAATTACTCAATCAACAACGTTTGTCTCGAGAATCTGCATTATCGACCGAATCGCCAGATTTACTCGCGATGGTTCTTGCGGTGGCACGAGATCCCCACGCTTACGATATAATTTTAATGCGTAGTGTGCGATTGCATGCATGTCTTCCACATCCTCTTCCAGACGATCGTTCCAAGCAACTTCAAATTCTCGCAGCATCAGGATCATATCGTCAAAACATTACGACTAAAACACGTCTTGGTCGCCGACGCAATCCTGTTCAACCGATTAAGCTACAAGTTGTCAATGTTTTAACGAAACAACAGGCAAAATATTCTGCTCCATCTCCCAAAATGTCTGATGAAAAAACAAGAAATGGCAGAAGATCGGAATATTTGGTCTTACAAGGACTCCAGTTTCTATTTCATTGTGAATATTTGGCACTAGTGGAATATATTGAATGTGTTGTTCCCACCATATATGTCATTTTCAAGTCAGTGCTCGAACTGCTTCCAAATGTCGTATACTATCCTGGTGGTGCTGGCAAATGGAGTACCTTTGCTATGTCAAACATTTTGCTCTTTGCCTTTCTGGAAGTTGGGTCGTTTCTTTTCTTAGATCAATTTTTACAGCGCCAATTCAAGGTCTCTCCTATGTATCAGGTCGCTTTTGTACTTGAAAAGATGGCGTGGCAGGTCCAATCGATGTTGCTTCTTTCGAATTTTCTTCTAGCGTACGAGCTTGCTCATCACGGTATGTTATATAAGTATCTTTCCACATAGACGTGGTTTCACAATATGCTGCAATATATGTTCATTTAGGAGTTGATTTCACCTTCCGATTCGAATGGATCCGATAGAAAATTCGCTTCTGTTCGATATGGTAGCAATGCCACTTGAAGATAAACAACGTGATCTCAAGGTGCGAGCACATATGATCATGAAGCAGATTTGGAAAGGAGCGTAGAGTTCCGATGTTACCGACACGGTTATTCTGAGCTCTATTCTGGTAGAGACTTTGTCACACTGTGGTCTAGATATCACTATGCTTCTGATAGCAAGACATATCAATATGGTCTACTGCTGAATGCGATACGAATGTTTGAAAACTTAGTGTAGCACTTGTTACATTACGATAATATTTGCACTTTATAAACATTAGCGTCTACCGGGTTTCTCATCTTAACAAAATGTCGCCACTGCATCGGACGACAGTGATAACTTGTTATTGGATCCATTTGAATCGGAAAGTGAAATCGACTCCTGAAGTACATATTTTGCAGCATTTTGTTAGACTAGATTCATGCAAAAAGATACTGTTATTACACACCGTGATGAGCGAGCTCGTACGCTAGCAGAAAAATCGAAAGTAGCAACATCGATTGAATCTGCCACGCCGTCTTTTCAAGTACAAAAGCGACCTGATACATAGGAGAGACCTTAAACTTGCGCTGTATAAATTGATTTAAAAAGAGAAACGACCCAACTTCCAACAAAGCAAAGATCAAAATATTTGACATAGCAAAGGTACCCCACTTGCCAGCACCACCAGGATAGTATACGACATTTGGAAGCAATTCCAGTACTGACTTGTAAATGACAAATATGGTCGGAACAACGCATTCAATGTATTCCACTAGTGCCAAATATTCACAATGAAATAGAAACTGGAGTCCTTGTAGAACAAAATATTCCGATCTTCTGCCGTTTTTTGTGTTCACATCCGAGACTTTGGGACATGGAGCAATTTTTTTCGTCTGTTGTTTCGTCAAAACACTCACAAGGTTTAACTCTATCGGCTGAACAGAAGTTTTGGAAAAAAAGCGAGACGTTAGCTTGCGTCGACGAATAGGTCGTGTTTTGGTCGCATCGTTTTGACAATATAATCCTGATGCTGCGAGAATTTGAAGTTGCTTAGAACAATCTTCTGGAAGAGGATGTGGTAGACATGCATGCAATCGCACACCACGCATTGAAAGGATATTATAAGCGTGAGGATCTCGCGTCACCGCAAGAATCATCTCAAGTAAATCTGGCGAATTAGTCAATTGTGCAGACTGCAAAGAATCTTGAGACAAACGTTGTTGATTAAGTAATTTGACTACGTCAAATGCATTAACCCGTAGTTCGCGAAATTCCAATAATGTTAGTCCCACGTCGGCAACAATGAAAGTTAAAGACAGAAGTAAAGAGGCAGAATTTGACATGCAAACAGACATGAAAAGCGAGCTGTATAGATCCACAGTAAAACTTAATGTTTGCGGTATGATGTCCTCCAATTCACGTGTGGCACTAATTACAATATATTTAGCTCCGATTTTCCATATTGGCAGCATCAACACTATTAAGTTTCGATATGTTGGATATATTGAATCGTGAAGAGCTTTGCAAAAGGGATATAAGATAGTGAATGCAAAGTACGCATACTGATATCGCTGAAACCGTAGAAGGTATGGCCGACAAATAGATTCCTTTGTGAATGGTGACTTGCCCAACACAAGCACTAAGACTACCAACATGTGAGCTCCAACCACCACGTTTCCAAGTTGTACAGTAAATGGAAGAGGATACCCAATCGTGCTAGCGGCTACTAGCATGGTTGTCATGTACAGCACCGAAAGCAAAAATGGAATTGCAAAAGTCTTTACTGGCGTTATTTCCAAGACCGGTATGAACATCTTGAAACTAAGAGTGCCTGTAAAAGTCGCCATAAACACTGATATTGCCTGACGAATCCAAAACATCCAATTTGCTCTCCATCCCTCAGACGGGTTGCGGAGCGGTAGACACTCCAAAAAGATCGCAAGCGTTAGAGTAGGTAGCGGAACGAGCAAACATACTAGAATTACACGAATACGAGAAGTGGATTCGCAGTAGGCATTGAAGCTTTCAAGTCGTTCGACTGAATAAGAACCTTGACGACCTACTTGGATGTCGTTCCATTTTTTTTCGAGATGTCTTCGTATCACCATCTTTCAAGTTGTGGGGCTGTAACCGACTTGTGCGAGTGATGTACTATGTTTATGATAACTCATTATACTTTAGTAGTTCGATGGGATAATGCAGCACAACAACCATTGATTAGACTCAGCGAATCAAGGCTGCATTTTTTTCAGAACTATTGAATAGTATGCATTCTGATGCATTCAATGCAGTGGAGATGTTCGAACGACAAGACTTAATATTTGAGTGAACAAGTTTGCCGTGCACCTCTTAACAAACTTGATTCTAGATATATGTCACTCTTGAAATAGAAGAGCAGATTAAATAAACTTGTTACTCTTGGGTGGAGCGTGCGAATCAATTGTGTATGTATTTGATAGCGCAGACATATTGATCGAAAGCTTTTTGTGCATGGTGCTTAGCAACCCAGTAACCTTGCACCTCTTGCTGTTTGCGTTTACCGCTTCAAGAATTTCGCTTAGCAAAGAAGCTGTACCTTAGAACGAAAAGTTGTCAACTTCTGGTGACAGACGGATGGATATTTAGCGCTAGACATTCACGTAAGGCAAAGCTTACAATCAATATATTCGCTATTTCAATCTAAACGTCATTGTGTCTGGCAGATATGCTTTAGCCACATTAGCGCAAGATTAGTCGAATCCTAAGTTTGTACAATCTCGGGAATTTGACGTTTGAAACAAGCGCTAAGTCGAGTGAAATTCTGATACAATCGTGTTGACTTATCTATCGGAATATCTAAACAGATTAAAGTTTGTTTCTTCGTTACGACAAACTCTGTGCAGTCAAAGCAATAAGCACGAAATCCTATCCAACCTATGAGCATGTGTTAAACTGCTTTGAGAGCACGCACTATATTGAAGTGTGTAGCTTAGTAGTCAAGTGCTCAGAAAAAAGTGGCGAGCCGACCTCGAGGAACTGCCTTGCGACGCAATTGCCAGATGCGAATTCCACCATCGGCCGATGCTGACGCGAGAGCAGTACCATACGGACTTACGATAAGCGCAGAAATACCCTCAGCATGCGCTTTTGGAATTTCAAGCACCTGTTCTCGACCTACTGGCTCATCTAGCTTCCAAAACAAAAGCTTGCCCGTTGATGTTCCTCCCACTGCATATCCACCATCCGAGTCAAAACACCTGCAGACACGAGCAATTTAACGTTAGAAATCTATCATAACATTAAATGGAAACTGCGTGGAAACGTGCCGAATGGGTCCATCAGCATCAACGCTGATAGTAATCATACGCGTGCCATCTGTTTGATAGACCGAAAGCTCGTTTGCTGTGGTCATACAAGCGACTGTGGTGGTCCCACCACAAAAAGTCAAGCCACAGATTTCTGCATGATGAATGGGACTTGCGAATAGTTTTCGCAATAGTTCACCAGTGCGTAAGTTGATCAAGTACACGATTCCTACCAGCATTGGCGCAAACGATTTAACACTAGAATTTAGGTCCGAAATAAACTCATCATCACGTACCATTTCTTGTAGCAGCAGCACCCACCAAGCCATCTGCACTTATGCAAAGTTTGACTACAGACTCTTCACACTCCATATAAGTCAACAATGGCGCCGTGGCTATTCCTTTTGGCGTAAAATGCCAGATTTTTATTGAGCCGTCCCACGAACTCGACAAAATTCGATCTTCAAAGACACAGATAGCTGAGACACCGTCGTCATGCGCTGTGATTTGGTCAATGACACGTCCAATGTCCATCGAGTACATGTAGATGCAATTGTCCCAAGATCCGATGAAAACATATTTCTCGTCATTCGATACATCACAGCAGGAAAGTGCCAAATTACACGAAAGATTCCGTCGCAACGTGCCATCCAGTGTTGCCGTGACTTTAAATGTCGAATCCTTCGATGTAGAGAACAATGCACGGCCATCTTTTCCTAATACAAGCGATGTCACCTCGCTACGAAGTACTCAAACAGGCTATAAGAGGTCACGCTGTCCGACTTTTGCGCAACAAAACTTACCTCGAGTGCAGCATGAAGTGCGCCGATGGTTCCCACGATGATAAATCACCATTTGTACCTAACGTCCAATTCCAGCGCTGCGATGATTCGACACTCATGCGTCGACGAATTTGAGCTGTGATTCCTCCAACAAAACGCTGTGCTTGCTTTGGAACTGCAGTAAATGAACGAGTTCGGAATGCAAACATGCCAAGTCGATTGGCTGTTGTTGCTTCCTCGCTATCATCGTCAGACGTGTTGTTTTCGTCTAGCACACTGTCTTCTTCCATACGGTTTTCGACTTTACCTAAAACCGACATGTTATTCGTTGCACTGCTTGATGAGCTTTTTGACGGCATTAAGTCTGGAGTAGCAATAACCACGGCCTTGCCAATTTCGTTTCGAGAAGGGTGAGCTTCAGAAAAGAGGAGTTTCGGCGTTTGACCAAATTCTTGAATTTGGGCTTCTAAGGAACATTTCTCCACCGGATCTGTTATCGTCTCGAGATCGACTGAGCCTTCATAAGACAAATAATAGAACACTACGGAAGAGAGTAATTATTTAACGTTACTGTGTGATGTAAAGTACTAAGCTTACAGTTGTTTGCGTCAATGGCTGCTTCTCCTCGCTGCTTGTACCCAAAGATCAAATCAATCCACTCGTGAAGGTGTTCTGACACATATTCACTCTCAAGAGCTTCCCGATTCATTCGAACAAAGGCAGTCGGACTGGATGCCCATGCAGGTAGTTCTACATCGCCAACCTATGAACACAGTAATAGTCAGCAGATTGTCGCTAGCCCCAAATTAACAACGCACCCTAGTTAGCTTCTGAGTGGTCCCAAGATCAAGATTTTTTCCATTACAAAGCCATTCGTCTGGTGGCAGCGATTCGTCAAAAAATGCAGGAACAAGTTCTTTCAGGTCAGCATGATTTGTATTGCAGCTACTCCAGGTGCTCGGAATGCTCTGGAATAGTCGATCTGGTGCGTCAAACTTGCCATTCTGAAGACAAAGCATGTATTCAGGAGCCATGCGTACGAAATAGTAGAGCACGTATCCAGGAGTGGAATAGTGTGTCCCATATAAAAAAGGCGGTGGCAGCCCTTCGTGTTCCATTCCACGTGGCATAGCTTCATAACGTGCTTTGTAAAACTGTAGACGTTCTTCGTTAAGTGCTCCAATGGGTCTCGATAGATCACGATACACTGCAGGGTCTGACAAGTCAATTGATGGACTCTGATAATCATTTAAGATCCACGGAAACACTGGGTATTGTGTCAGGTCGTTTTGCGTCCGCCCTGCGGCATTGTTCAGATAAACAAGGTAATCATAGTTCGAAACCTCACGCTGTTGCCACTTGCGCAGCATCGACTCGATATCAGTCTGCTGCAAACGTTTTAAATTTGGCTGATTGACCATCATATCGTAGACTTCGTCACGATCATAGTGATTTCGAAAGCTAAAAAAAAAGCTCTCGCCATTTTTTAAAAAAATTTCCAAGCCGGTCTGTCTAAGCATGTGACGTCGCTTGTAAAGATACTCGATCGTGTCGTACGCCCAATTTAGCACCGGATCGCCGACATTATTCACTTGAGCTGGTTGAAAATACAATCGTTGATTCGTCAACATTAAACATCCCGGATACTTCAAAAGCGGCACTATTCGATCGACTAACCTTCCTTTTGTTAATAATGGACGTTCACGAAAATCCACCAACAAACTCGAATCAAACTGGTCTATTTGTCTCAATGTCAAAATTGGTTCCAGCATCACTTCTTCATCCATCTTGTTCATGACATTTTTCTTGTGTGCAAGTTCCCAAATCGGCCGCACATTTTTCAAAAACTCTTCAATTTTGGAATGTAATAATGAAAACATGTACTTTTCGGGAATTCCTGTACTTGCATTTGTCTCTTTTTGAACATATGGGTGATCCACTCCTCTTTCTTTCATCTCCACCACAGACGAGATCTTAAACGCTAAGAGAATGGCACAATCTCCAGTTTCTGAATTGTTGTGCAGCTCGGCTAGAGGCATTTCTTTCATATCTCGAAAGAAAAATCTCAATATTGGCAGATTACTGTCTTGTGGCTCGAAGAAAAACCCTCGAGTTCCAGTTTTTAGTCGACCCTGTACCTTGCTATACATAAAACAATAGCATTTAGATTAGGACCTCGTGATATGCACATAACGTGGTACACTCAAAGGAACAGACCGATGAGCGTCGGGATGTGGCTCCAAATAGCGATGCACGCTAAAATCCTGTAGTCAGAAAAGATGTGTCGGTTGAGGGCTATATAAGTTAGTATTAAGATGCATATTATACGTACATCAAGGAAAAACTCGCCATCTTCAAGAAGTAGTAAATTAAATCGCGTCTGTGAGCTTTTATAGCTGGATTTGGACGCGAACATAGCGGCGGGGGCAGAATGATCGGTCAGATGTGATGGTGCAACGCTGGCAGTTGCGCTGCACACAAACGACACACGAAATTTACCTCTTACATGTTAAGAAATTATTATGTTATAGAATACTAGCGAATGAGACTTCATTTTGCTATATACTGATCGAGGTCCCTAGTTAGTGGGTCTTTACATGAGTGAGAGAAGCGGCTTTGTGAAGCTTTTGAGACGTTTGATCCTTTCCGACCTAATGTTTACTACAGGGCAATCACTTGAAGAGAAACAAAGCGAGCATGACGGTTCACTTAAAAGCACGTATCGCATAAAATGATTGGGAAAGTAGATGACCGGAACGTGTAGCCTGAGTCACAAAAAACGACTGGTAGAATAGATAGAACACCTTGAATGAGAGGAAGTCAAGCATATGCGATCATAGAAGAAACGAGCAGAGCAACTTTGCTCCTGTAGTTAAATAGTGATAGTAGAAAGTATTTTTTGTGAGCGAGGAATGCAATTAAAAAACTTGAGCAAAACAAGAAAATATCAGGGTATAGAAGAAGAGAAGTATCCCATGATATTGTCCTACAACAAGTATACGCAGTACTTGCTAGATAACAACTTTCTCCAGTACGAAAATTCGAATGTAGAATTGAGTAGAGAGTATAGGATATGGAATATGGAATGTAGAAAAAACAATAGCGCAGTTTAAGAGATGGTCGATCCTGTTGTGATAGAGATGCATTGGTAAGCACGAGAGATCGAATGATGACAATGCATAATTGCTTTCTTGTGACATTCGCATCTAGCTCTTCAATTATCAAGAGTAGGATCAATTTTCAGGATCATTAAATATACGAATGGCGAGACGGGAGAAAATGTGGAACATGAGTCTATAAGATTCAACGATGGTATTGTTACTCGCAGCGGAATGGAAAGTAAATGAGATATCAGAACCCTTACTTCTAACACTTGTTCTTGAACACCTTGCAAACTTGATCTTCAACAAGATTCCATTTTAACTTTGCATTTGTGCACCGTACACAAACATGTGACGTGGCGTCACAACACCTCAACGCTCTTCATCAACTTGCAAATCGTCAGCCCGCTTTTTCAGCATAGCAGCAACAGGCGTGGAGTCGGCATCGCCTGAGTTAAAAGGTAATAGATCCTCCCGTGGGAACGTGTGCTAGCTTGATGCTTTCTGCTTCGACATGGTCTCGCACAAAATGAGCTTGTAGGTCATTGTCCTTCGCGCGAGGTGTGTAACTTTGTTTGGTAGCCATACGAATCACCGATTTGTTGTCTAGTCGAATCGTATTGGGGCCTTCAGACTCAAATCTCGAACGGCAGAGAGCGTAGCCAAATGGCCTCTTGCGTGGCCAAAGCAAGTGCCATATACTCTGCTTCAACAGAACACAGATCCCAGTAGAACACAGTGCCACCGTGGTCTGCCGCTTGCTCTTGAACACTACTGGCCCACCTGCTAAAAGCAATAATACTCCTGACGCTGAGCGCCTCGTATGTTTTTCAGCTCCCCAAATTGCGTCTGCATAAGCCTTGATACTCAGTCAATCACTTGTTCCAGCGCAGAACCGCACCCCATAAGTAAATGTGCCGTTGAGAAAGTTCACGACGCGCACTAGTGTATTTCACATGGAGAATCCAGGTACTGCGAGAGTATCAAAGGTGCGTCGGGCCTGGTAGCATTGGTGATGTACAAAAGAGACCCAGTTTGCCCTCGATAGCCCCGAGTATTTTTGTGCATCTCATGCAGTTCGTCTGGCGTTGAGTCCTGACCATGCACAATCGAATTCTGCACAGCATTTGCTTCAGTTTGCCCGAATCGCGCGAGTATTATCTTGATTAACTGGGTCTACCTCTACAAAATTTCCGTTCTGCGGTACATACTACAACTTCATCCCGAGGACATATCTCGCATCGCCAAGAGATTTCACAGTAAATTTGGCTTGAAGTGCAGCGTAAATCGCATTTGTCTCGGCATCCGCGGTGCAACTGACAAGCAGATTGTCGACTTAGAGTACCGATCTGCGCAAGAGGCTTGTGAGACAAACATACATGGATCTGCACAGCACTGTACGAGTTTCATTTCAACAAATGCGGCTGAAATAGTCTTGTACTAGACTGCATCGGCTTGCTTCAAGGATTTGCCGCAGCTTGCATACAAACCTGTCGTCAGCCTGAACACCTTGTGGCACGGCCATGTACACGTCTTCATCTAGCGTCCCATCAAGAAACGCAGTTCCTGTGTCAAACTGTGGGATCTTCAGACGCTTGCTGCAGCACATCGCAAGGAACACGCGAATCGTATTGGTGCTCGCCACCGGGTAGTACGTGTAGTAGCAGTCCACGCCATGGTTTGCAAATAGCCAAACGCCACTAAGCGAGCTTTGAATCGGACATGTTGCCGTTCTCATCGAGCTCATATGCAAGAACCCACTTGCATTCGATAACTTGTGCACCACGCGGGCGCATGAGCAAATCCCCAAGTGTGATTGTGAATGTGTACCCTAAATTCTTTGCGTATAGCTTCTTTCCCCTGTTTGGCGTTATCGCTTCTGCATAGCTCGCAGGAACTTTTGTGGTTGCCTGTGCAATCTCGTATTCATCAAGTCGAAGGCGTTTGGCGTCCAATTCACTAATCGCTTCGTCGACTCAAGAACTTGCATGGGATTCAGTTGCAAGCAGAGGCATGTCATCAGCTTCATCTCCGTTGATCAATAGCCGAGGCTGTCCAACACGAGGTCCAAGCCCAGGTCTTGATCCGCCGCAAATCACCATGCGCTTATCAGCAAAAGTTACTCGCTTGGTGTGTACTGGAGCTTCACTGTCGCGAGTAGGGGCACGTAACAGCGGTACTTGTCCGGACATGATAGTTCTAGCACTGTTGGGGTGATCAGATCAAAGTTCTCGTTCAGGATAACTTTCCAACGAAGTTTTGGTTGAACGTGTAGTGTCAGCGACAGCGCAAGAAACACTCGAGGAGCCCCCCTGAAGAGGTATTACCGCAGCTGACACAACAGAGCTATCTGCCTCCATATGCAATAATCCATCTCCTGTTTCATCGATATTCGTGTATGTAGTAGTGGGTGTACTCGCACTTGTCGGCGCACGCAACCCATCGTCGTCGTCTTCGAGCGCATACTTCGTTTGACTATCTTCAGCACTAGTTCTCTCGACATCCTGAATCAGATACTGCACATCGATTAATCCCTAGAGAACAGGCACAATAAGAACGGTGTAATTAACGTGAGTGATATACTTGTCGCTGTTAATGAATTGTCGGTGTATGAAATGGCCTTAGCAGAACAATAGCGTAGTAACGAGCAGGTGGTCGCTCGTTAGCGTTACCATGCGCGTTTTGACCAGTGTTTTGCTGTCGGGGTCCCAGACTCGGTGTGCCTTCGAGCCGTCAGCATATCCCAAGAAGATGCAGCGGTGCGACCTCGCGCCCCACTTCGTCCTCTTCATCTTGTCGAGATGCACTACCCCGGTAGATCCAAATATTCGAAGGTGCTCAAATAAATGCTGCGTACCGGTGAGAACTTCAATTGTCGACTTGTCGCGACGCGCAGCGTTCAGGATACTATTTTCTACATATGCAGCGGTGTCATCCAGGCCTCTCTTCACCAGTGTCGCCACACGTCCGTGTGATACATCATTGCTCGGGCCCTTTCAGTTATGGTACGGCTCGTTATCTTGACCATTCGCAGCGCTTGTTTGATGCAAGATGCCGTTGGTGGCACAAAACCGATTAAAATTCCCACCGGTATACTCTCTACCGTTATTGCTACGAACACACTTGATCCTGATGCAAGCGCCAATATTGATATCTCAGCTGTTGCTGGTTTGGTGATTTGCGAGGGCCTTGAACTCGCGAAAGCAAACAAAGGCTTGTGCTCTTAATGAAAGCAGCTTCTGTTAGACGTATCTACTGTAGCTGTCGATGAACGTGAGCACATACAAGGCTCCACCTTTTGATTTAAGCTTCATTTGACCCATGACATCAGTGAGTACGACTTCTAGAGGGCTTCTAGCTTTGACTTCACTGCCGGAACTTTGTACAAACGGACTGGTCATCAGCTTGCCTTAAGTACAGCACCACAATTAGCGATAATGATGTCTTCTTCATGTTGAAGCTCAGGCAGTCCGTCAATTTTCGTCGCAACAGTTTGCATCCTTACTGTGAAAATATTGCCCAGTTGAGTGTGCCATAACGCTCTATTTCCACACATTCTAGTATCTGTCCGGGCGGCTTGCTCCCCTTGAGCTGCTGTAAATGCCGCATGAACAGCTTACCATTTCGATAAATCACGCCGCGCTCTTTTCTATACACCGCTAATGTCGCTTGATCGCGTTCAAACTGCACGACAACGCCACGTTTTGTCAACGCTGGGACGGACACCAGCACGTACAAAACGTCCGTCAACTTGATCGTACGCGTATCACCAGCAACAAATTTGTTTCTTTCGGCTGGCAATTGCTGCCCACTAACCACGGTGATGCAGATTGGCATATTCAACTCTTGATACTCCACTAAGTCCATCCGCTCATCCTACTTGAAGCAGCTCGCTCCACTGTCGAGCAGACAGGAAACCTCTCGTGCTGAAGCGACCGTGGTGGCCGAGGAAACAAACTCGTTCTCCAATTTCTTCGACTCAGGACAGTCATCACGCTTGTGATCGTACTCATTGCAATTAAAGCTGTAACCACAAAATTTCGGTCCAGTGTTCCTGTTCTGGACCTGTCCACAACCACCTTGCTCGCGCATCGAGGCCTTGTATGCTTGCTCTTTCTCCTCTCTCTTTTTGGTCAGCTCGAAATCACGACGTAGCATTTTCTTTGCGTCCAGCAACGTCGCCTTGCCATGCGCCTTGATGATACGAATCATTGCATTATACTTCTGGGATAAATTTCCAAGTAAAACGACCTTTTTGTTGTCCTCAGACTCGACTTTGCCTACCACCGCCAATCGCGAACACAGGTCATCAAACCTCACGATGTGCTTCGTCTGATATACTCCCGTGCCTGGCGGAAATCCATGCATTTTTTTCTCATTTGCACACAATTATAATGTGACTGCTTTACGAAGCAAGCTCGCAGCTTTTCCCATGCGTCACACGCAAAACCCGCGTCACGAATCACGGATTGGTAGGTTAAACTTATTACTTGGGCCACAATCGCCAGCGCTTTCATGTCGGGGGCCTTCTTCTCCTGCATCTCACGGCGCACTGCGTCTTCTGGTATTATGGCTTCGAGGTGTCCCTTCGCAGCCAACGCTATCCAGGCGTTGAACTTCCATATGTAGTAGTTGTCGTCGGTGAGTATCTCGTGGAAGCGTTTAAGCTCATAACCTTTAACGTCTTGTTACTCGCAGCGCAGAATAAAATGTGAATTAGCTACCAGAACCCTAACTAGCTCCAACCACTAACGCTTGTTCTAGAACACCTTGCAAACTTCTTTTCGAAAGAATTTCATTTAAGCTTGCAACTTGCCGTAGTGCAACGTACACAAATCTGTGATGCGGCGTCATCAACACTTCAACACAAGAGAGGCGTGAGAGGGGCGTGAAGCTCAAAACCCTTTTCTAACTGGCAGGTCGATAAAAATGCAAGGTCTAGAATACAGGGATAGCTGGTCGCAAAGGGTTGAGCTTAAATCAAAATTGCGAGTGCAACCTGCTCGCAGATCACGAGTCCAGTCACTGCTGCCGCTAAGTCGGGTCGTGTGCCAACCATCAAATACATGAGGCGTCCAACGGCATTTCGTTATGGCACGATGACCATGGTATCTACATGCTTGCAGCTACCTTCACACATCGTTCTTGTAAGCTTGAGACCTGGGTCTTGGGGTGTGCGGACGGGTTTGCTGTGCTCCAGAAATAGACTTTCTTTTTATAAGCGCAATCAGATGTTGGCAATTCCTGCAGTAGTCAGAGATCGGAGACACTGGAATGCACAAGCGCATTTGCAGCGGGGCTGCCGTAGGATGGCGCTTGAGGAAGCGTACTTTAGTTCACCGACCTTTCGTTCTTTACAAGATCCAAGTTTGAGTTAGCGGATCGTAATCCGCTTACTCCAAGAGTAATTATTGACTTCCCAACTCTAATTGACTCCTCGGTTAAAATCCAGAACTGATTTTTATATATAATTTTAAAAGTTTAGATTTTCCTAAATATTCTAAATGTATATAGTAAAATCTAAATACATACATAACTACTGGCTACCTAGCCCCGTACCGTATTCTTGTTTGGGAATGGTCACACCATGCACATCTCGTGTGACACACACACCCCTGTTATCAGGGTTCGTGTAACCCCGTTACAGCATTAGTGAAACGAGCAGACATGAATGGGTTTTACACAGGAATGCGATATCAGCGGGATTCTGGAAATGGCAGTGACGTAGAGCAGATTAACATGTTACATAAAGTTTAGCATCTCCACAAAATCAGAAAAAATAGATGTTTAAGAGTTTACGAATCGAATATAGACTGGAAAATGCAGAGGATTTAGAAATTTTGAGATGGAGTGCAAAAATCGACTGTATACAGTGAATTTGGTGAATTCTTCTTGGCAATAAATGGATAGTTATATCCGATCGCAGTCATAAACATTATAATTTTTCAATAGCTAAAACATAAGCATGCTCTTTATAATTTTAAAATTATTATCCCCGAAGCTCTTAACATCAAAAGAATTGGAGTATCGCTGATTGGGAGACCAGATAATCACCATCAACTTCCTTCAAGCTCCGATAGTAACCTAGAAAGATCGTGCTCTTTGTGCGATTTGTAGTTTGATAAAATAATTGTTAAGTGTGATCCATGGTATAAAATCGTCATGCATCTCAAACAAGATAAATTTCAGATCATCGTTCCTACGTTACCTTGCAAACCGACCAGACCGTAGTATAACAAAACATCGTAGTTGCCGCGTGATTCAAAGCTCAATGTAGCAGCGTATGCGATATCAGACGTCTGCGCATCTACATAGCGACATGTGTTCTTCCATCTTGGATCCACCTTTCTCGTTTCTCAAAAGTATTGTCACTAGATTGGATCCGAAATATCAAAGCTTAAACTATTTCGGATCCAATCGAATTGAAACGTGAAGTCGACACCTGAGTATATTTTGCAGCACCTAATTAGATTGTATCCACACAATATCAAAAGAGGGTGACATACCATTATGAGAGAGCTCGTACGATAAAACAACAACCAATGACAGAAACATCATTGACTGGACTTGGGTTTTATGCGTTTCAAATACGAAAGCGACTTGGTACATAGGAGAAACTTTAAACTCGCGCTGTATAAAATGATTCAAAAAAAGAAATGATCCAATTTCCAGTGAAGCAAAGATTAAAATGTTTAAGATTGCAAAGGTACCCCACTTGCCAGCACCACCAGGATAGTAAACGACATTTGGAAGCATTTCAAGTACTGACTTGTAAAGGACATAAACGATGGGAACAACACATTCAATGTATTCCACTAGAGCCAAATATTCAGAATAAAATAATAATTGAAGTCCTTGGGAAACAAGTTGTTCCGATTGTTTACCATTCCTTGAATTCAAATCAGGGATCTCGGGATAATGAGCGACTTTTTGTGATCGTTGTCTTGCTGAAACATTTACGAGATCAGATGCAATCGGTTGAACCGAAGTTGCATGAAAAAAGCGAGACATGAGATTACGTTGGCGAGATAATTGTGATTTGGTTGTAATGTTTTGACAGTATAATCCTGATGCTGCAAGAATTTGAAGTTGCTTGAAACAGTCTTCTGGAAGTGGATGTGGAAGACATGCATTTAATCGCACACCTCGCATTGAACGTATATTGTAAGCGTAGGGATCTCGCGTCACCGAAAGAATCATTGCGAGTAAATCTGGCGATTCAGTCGGTAAGGCAGTTTGCGTAGAGTCTTGAGACGTACTCTGTTGATTAAGTAATTGCACTACGATAAATGCATTGTATCGTAGTTCGCGAAATTCCAGTAATGTAAGTCCCAAGTCGGCAGCGATGAAGGATGTAGATAAAAGCAATGATCCAGCACTTGACATGCAAACAGACATGAAAAGCGAGCTGTACAGATCCACAGTAAAACTTAGAGTTTGCGGCATGATGTCCTCCAATTCACGTGTGGCACTAATCACAAGATATTTAGCCCCGAATTTCCATATCGGCAGCATGATTACAGTAAAATTACGATACGTTAGAGGAATAACATCATAAAGTGCTTTGTAGAAAGGATATATAACAGCGAGAGCAAAGTATGCGTACTGGAATCGTTGAAATCGTAGAAAGTATGGCCGACAATTTGATTCCTTTGTGAATGGTGACTTGCCCAACACAAGCACAAGAACGATTGGAAAACAGATAGCAAGCAACATGCTCCCTACTTGTTCAGCAAATGGGAGAGGGAATCCAGCGTTGCTAGAAACTATTATCATGGTAAGCATGAACATCGACGTAAGCAAAAAACCAATGGTCAAAATCTTTGCGAGCGACACCTCCAAGACCGGTATAAAGGTCGTGAAGCTGAAAGTGCCTGCTGTCGAAGTCATAAACACTGCTATTGCTTGACGAATCCAAAACATCCAATTGGCTTTCCATCCTTCAGACGGATGACGGAGCGGCGGACAATCCAGCAAGATCGCTGTAGCTAGCGTGGGGATCGGAACAAGCAAACATACCAGAATCACACGCGTACGAGAAGTGGCTTCGCGGTACGCATTGAAGCTCTCGAGTCGTTCGACTGAATAAGATTTTTGACGGCCCACTTGAATGTCGTTCCATTTCTTTTCGAGACGACTCCACATCAACATTTTCGAAATTCATAAGCTCTTGCAGAGTAGCCATTCTATTCTTATGCATACTCATACAAGTTTAATTGTGGGTTAGGAGAATGCTGCACTAATTGAAGAAGAGCAAGCATCGAGGTGGAATCTAAGCAATCATTGATATGGGAATTTTCGATGTTGCATTTTTATATTAGAACTCTCGACAAATGTGGGTCTCAACTACCTATTCTGCAAACGAGAACCTTTTAGCGACAAGACTTAAGAGCGTCAGAAGGAGTGGTAAGAAAACAGCAAAAATTGAGTGGGTGAAGTTTATCTCGTGGAGCTTCTATTGGAGTTGCTGGACGGTCAAGGCCGTTAGCTGGCTTCTTCCGGTCGCTTAGTATACATCAGAGAGGCTGCTTGTTACACGAGTAGCGTGACTACTACTCAACTTTAAAGCGAGTGGTGAAAAGAGAAGACGGTCACAAAACTCTAGCAGGTCCCCTCCGTCGTCGCTGTATGATCGACGGTAGACTACTCCCCTTTCGCCATCGGAAAGTATTGATAAACAAAATATTGAAACGCTATCAACTCGTTGGTTGTCTAGTTCGTAATCGTTCCAATGATAAGGCCGGCCAGACTCAAACCATGGTGGAAAGACATTGAGTGGAACTAAATTTTTACTTGGGGAAGTTGCCTACAAGCACTTCTGTGCTTGTTCCACCGTTAAAAAGCAATTGGTACGGGTCGGCTTAAGCTTATAACGCACGATTCGCAAAACTAGGCTTTCGAGTAGAACACTGCACTGGGAAGCTCAGAGTGTATTCCGGCTGCTTTAACGCATTTGAGTCCGCCTAAGAACTTAAGGAGCTGAATCAATCTGACTAGTACTTGCCACAATTATTTTGCACAGCATGGCTCCGGAAGGTGAAATCAAGAAATGACTCCTACGTCAAAGGTTATATTCGATATGTGCCTTGTGGTGCGTACGAAGTGTCAAGATTCTATCTATGCGATTGCTTGTCTGGTGTTACAAAGCAAGCAGGTAACATCGTTTCCCTTACACTCGGTAATGGCAAATCAAGATCAATATAAATTGTGCTCGTGCCATATTCTCGCAGAGTTTTACTTCTAATTGCACTCGTTCAACTCCAACTAAGTAATAACATAGTCTTTCTCTTCCTTCCAATTTGTATTGTCTTCTAGTCAGTTCTCATGTTATGTTTGTATTTCACGATGTCGTAACACTATCTCTTGCTGACTTATCAGTCTATCAATTGGGTTCAAGCACACCTTTTGTTAATAGCAGCTAAGTCATTAGTAAGCAGCGGTGATGCGCCCGTTTGTATTTTCATGTTGATATTGTGTCTTTCGTGGTCGATGTTAATTGATGCATTTTTGAGGCATATTAAACGTCAGTTCTTCACCATCTCTTATGTCATAGCAGTAGAGACAGCGCTTCTTCTACCTGTCGGTAACAACGGGTGCTGTGTGGTCATCTTCTCGTGTACTCCGGCATTATCTCGAACCTTATGCTCAATAACTCCAAGCAATCTTTCATGTTTCGATCATTTGTTTCCTAATGCTGCCGAGCCACTTATCGCAGTCAGCCGAATGGATTGTCCTTCTCGAGAACAACTCTAAACGAGGATTTCTCTCCGTTTACTCCATCACTGTCCCAAAAAATCGTATTTTTGCAGATGCGCGTAATTCCACGAATGCATTGTGTGACTCCTTTCTACGCTTCATCCAAGCTTTAACGATGACTTTTAAACTTCATCAGTCTATCTGGCCGTCTTGTAATTTTTGGGCGGTTAGAATACAAGAGAATTTTTATCCAAAAGTGGTCTTTTGTTCAAAGCTCCATTTTTGGTATGAGTCTGTCATCTTCAGCGATTGCTATCTAGAAGCTAGATATCAAAAAGAGTATAACCTCACCAAAAAATATTACAATAAGTAAACATTTGATAAAATATCTGGCTAAGGAGTATAGATTTGATTATGATATCTTTCTAGCTCTAATTTGTTCTCCTTTCTATTAATTATAAAAAATAAAGATCTTGAATAGAAAAGTTGTTTAATACGTTACTCCGAGAGCGGATCCTTACCATTTCAAATCAATCAAAGTCTTTATCACGCTAATACATACATTCCATATAACGACAAATATCTGCCTTTAGCATTCGACTCACCAATTTGCCGGGTATCCATCAGTCGAATCGCCAGAAGAAACAATCCTTTTCCGCAATTTCAGCTCCGAATTTCTTTGACCATGCATTATTTCGCTCTTGCCCGTCTGTCGTGCCTCTCCGTTGACACTGGCTACGGAGTCTGGTCCTACACTTAGTATTTAGCCTGATGACATTGTCCGGCCATCTCGAATCCCGATCGATAAACCTTGAGCAAACGGGATGTTAACAAGCGGCTCAAAGGAAGTAACATCAAGTGTCTCCATCTCATTCGTTTCTCCCGCGCCCCAATTCCCATCGGCTTGTTCTTTCGCTTCTAATTCAAGTATTAGCGGGAGCGAGCAACGCGGGACTTAATTTGCACTCGTTGAAGGATGCGCCATTAGATCGATGATAAGCCCAGCCGGCACTAATTCTCGCTCACACACGACAAGCGTCCAACGATTGCTGATGAACTCTTTCGCAGCATATGCTCAACCACGAGGCAGATGCTGCACACCGCGTGTAGACTCAAAAGACTATCGCCTGTGATATTGGAGCGATTGAGCGACGGTATGCCGCTGGTGGTGACGGGTCGTTTATTGCTTCTTGCACAAAACAAGTGCAGCTGTATATATTGCCGTGTGGCAGGTACAACATGGTGATCGATATCAGACAAAAATTTGTAATAACACCGCTTCAAAAGATACTGTCTTCGCTGGCCAGCAAGCGCCATTAGAATGGTGTCCTGGAAAAGTCTGCACCAGTCTTACGACATTGGGCATATTTTCAAGCTACCTGGCGTCAACTTAGCCGTCAAAGTAAGGTCGTGAAAAGTTTGCTGGCTCCTAGAACGAAGGAAGGTGCATATCTGAGAGAAGTATTCATATGACGTCCTCAGCGCGACGTACTCTATCGACATACCAAACGCCGACTCCGACACGGACACGACCCTTATCCTGCAACGCTGGTGTCTGCTCGGATGCAAGCCCATCTACAACACGTACTAAAAAGTGAATATAGCGACGGGACTTACGCCTGCGACGTGGCGTGTTTCAGTCGAACACGTGTTCAGGTGCGCTGACGATTGACGGCACTGTCTGCAATCAAGTGATCTTCAGCAACAATCTTCACCCCGCGCATCGAACAAAATGCACCATACCAGTCCGAGCAATTGCTGTTTGGCTACCGCTCTCATTATGGTCTTGGTCTCGGAATCAAACAACGGGTTTCGTGAGCCTGGCTGGAGAACCAAGACAACCCCAAATATGCATCGCAACGACAGCATCAGTACACTTCGTCTTGTGTGCAAGCAACGACGTTGACAAAAAACCTAGCTTCAAAAGACGGCGGAGGACGCATATTCAAAAAGGCCCAGCTTCAGCACGAAGCTCATCATCGAGCATTCTGCCAGCTAAGCGGATTTTGTTCCAGTGCAAACCGACCCGGGTCGTATCTTAAGTCAGAGGCTGATCATGCTTTTATAGCACTACTGCTTTTGATGTCGATCCATCAGGGCATACATGTTGAGATCGTTGCCGGGAGCAGACATAACGATCAAACTTACGACAAGGTAGCGTCCAGGAACAGATAACCAGGGATGCAGCGAGGCTGCCGTAGCTCTTTGCTTAGAGGAAGCTAGACTAAGTTACGTTCTACACTAGAACCAGTTTGACTGTAGCGGTTCGCAATCTGCTATCTTCGAGTGTGTCCACAACCTTAACTCAAGGCAAATACACTCTTACGTTCAAATTGTAATCTGTATTTCTTTTGTTTTATTCGCGGCAGAGCCGCCTATGTCTATAATTATATCAATATCTATGACTAGAAGGTTTCCTTATTAGATAGGAATACCAAACTACTGACTGTCCTGCCACGTAGTGGCTTCTTGTTAAAGTGTAGCCACACCATTGTGTGGTCGCACCATCTTGTGTGACCCCCCTTTATACAAAGGTACGTGTAACCCCGTTACACTCTCCCCTGTTCAAATTGTGAAAACCGACAATTCACATGTAACTGTCGCCTTGTACGAGGTTCGCGTGTCTTAGACACCTTTATGTCCCCAGGACATTCTTCAGGCATTCGCCGCAAGATATATTCTGTGTCTAGGGGCTGGTCGCTGCTGGCCTCTACCCTTCAAAGGCACAACAGAGCTCAGTTCTTTCCCAGTAGGGTGCACTGTGCCAAGTGGGTGCTGGCATTTCCCCGCGACAAACCAGAAGACTAGTAAGAAGCGGGACGCCGGTTCGCTCTACTGACCGCGCCCTATCGATGCGGGGGCTACGCAGTACCGAACATCGTATGTTTTGTCAGTAATACATGTTTCGACACATACGTGACCTCCAAGGACTGAAATATCTAGAAACCGCTGGTTGTAACAACATAATCAAGAGGCTATGATTGCTGCTTGACCATGAAATTAAGATTGAAGCGTCAAACTTGCTGCGTGAGCAATTTTTCTTGCGGAGCACAGCCGTGATAACAGCGTCAGAATTATTAGTGACCATTTGAGCCTATTTTGAAACCATGAGACTGCCTGAAGAAGTGGTCTTGCGTTTGAGTCATATCAAGTGGAGATGATAAAATTTATCCAAGCATGCACACGAGCGCGAATTAAACTGTGGTGCTTACCTCATCCATTGCTGCTATGGTCAATCCAATGACACACCACATTCGATCATTAACGATGCTTGTTGGAATGAGTGCTGTCGAAGCTTCAATTATTTGATGTCTGGCGAGGCCACTTTGACACTGATCAGGTCTACACCCGTCTACTTCTTAAAAAACAGACTTACCATCATCTTGCTATCATAACGAGGTGCTGGCGATCACCTCGCACACTGTGTGGGTTTTGGACCGGGTACTCAGCTACACGGCAGAGGCTTTTGGGAATTTTCTCCGTGTATACTCGAATATGCAAAAATTGAGTCGGCAAAGTCGGACTGGCTCGCAACCAGCTGCTAAAATCTGGAAGGTCCTGAAACAGTATGATAAACAAACGTCAAATCCAGACTGCATGAGCTACAGAAGATCCATCGTGAAAAAGACACACGTGTTGCGGAGGATGCTCGTATCAGATTTGATCGCGACGCTACTCGAATCGAATAGCAAATAGTGACGACAGTTACGAGCGCATGGTCGTGCCGGTCCGATTAAGACACTGCACTTGCTTTTCATACTGGCAATGCCGAAAAAATACCAAAATTGTTTCTCTGCTGGTCAAATTATCAAAATATGACTCGATAGAGGTCGTAACGCCGAATGGAAGGGACGCGACAAATCCAGAAGAACTTTCGCACCGCTTCCTGAGGCACTGAAAGTCCGAGATGAAAGATCTTTACAGAACCGCAGGAAAGACATCTCTTTTTGGCAGCATTGCAACCCAAGCTTTTGGACTCGATTACCAGAGTAATCGCGGATATCTATCGTGAGTTCCTCGATGCAAAGATGACTTTGGCTGATCCTGCAAGAACAATCTGGCACATGAAGTCAACTTCTGCGCCTGAGATAACAGGCTCGCCGCTGACCTCTTCCAAGCCCAATTACACTCCCCCATATGTAATTGGCGTGGTTACAAAATTAAACCAGGAAAGGGAAAGTGGATGATTACCCTTACTTCAGACAACGCGGGAGCTGGATATTCCACTCCGACAGTATCTTTATGGCAATATTGATGACCGACGCGTGACATCTTGTATCAGAACTGGAGGTACTTATCAGGTTAGGAAGATTAAAAGCCTAAAGGCTTCAATAATAAATGTCACTTAACCTTTCTCCGTCTCTATGTAAATCAGCAGCCCGCTGGATGCGGGCTAGACTGTCAGTTGACCGAAGCCTTCATCAGACAAAAGACGTACGGGCGATTCCTGTTACAAAATGTTTGTGGTTCCAGTGAGATCAAGCTGTGCGCTGTCGTGGTTTAGAAATTTTTTTTGTGGTTTCACTGGGGCTACCATTATATTAGGTCCGGAGGGTGGAACGGGTTACGTATCCAGTTACGAGCACATGAACATTACACCGTTGGCTTCCAGAATCAAAACAAAGTCCACGAGTATAATGCTGAAAAACCGTGATGAAATTATTCGTTACGGGAATGAAGTGGCGGTTCAATGTTTTGGTCTGCTAGCTTTACAGGTTAATGCGTTAGATAGGGCTCATTAACAAGCAAAATAAAATTTCAAATGATAAATGTGGATTCTACGTTTAGGTACGGGCATATAAACCACCATTTTGAGCCTGTTAATGCGGACTCTATGATTTAAGGTTCCCTCAGTGAAAGGCGCACGGCAACCCGTTGCACTTGATAGCTTCTGTCTTCAATCCAACGACTAAGTACGAGTACGACTGAAAGTGAAACGCGAATTATTTTCCTATCTCACCCTGGAATATCACGAAAGCTTAGCATTCCCTGATTCAGTCGTTTTTGATATTAGTGCAATTGGCGATCCGAGTAGCAGAAGATATTGCTGCTCACCTGGGCCTACAAAATTTGGTGGAGATATAACTCCAGAAAAATTTTAATTAGACAAAAACAACAACCTTCTGCATTTCGATGCAGCGAGACCGTTTCTGTGCGCCTTACAGCTTTGGAGCGAAGACGGAGAATTTGTTTTCTCTGAATACAGAAGTGAGGAGGCCATGATTTCGTCCTCGTTTATACAAAGCAGCAGTAAGTCGCGCTAGCAATCTTCAAGTCTGAACGTCGGTAGCAATGATGAGCAGTACTGTGTTCCTGGCAAGGGTAGCAGTTAAGCAAAGAATATCTCATTTCTTTGCATCTCATAGTCAAACTAATTTCGTGCTGCCGAATTTTTTTGTCAGTTCGCCCAGGGAAGAAAACTTGAGTGAAGCATATTTAACACTCAATAACGATCATAAATAAGATGCCGGGGGGTCTTTCACCTGAATCGTTAAAAGGTAAATAGTTCAATAAGAATTTTTAGCATATATCTGGCTTGCAATTTGACCATCTGCATAGATCTAACTCTCTGCGATGACAGGAATGCGAAACTCATCTTCTGGTCCACAAGAGCCGATTTAGGCGCGGGAGTTTGATATTTTCTGAATGCGCAAAAGATTGATGACCTTAGCTCGGCTAGATTGAAGAAATTCATTATTTTCCTGCCGATCAGCGTTGCCCATCAAAACGAGGTGGGGCTTAGAGCCAGATTTGTTGTTCGTAACATCGACGTACTCGGTTTTGTGAAGGCATGAAAACGCTAATTGGTTCAAGCACGGCGTGTCATTATATGCCGCATCCTGCTATTAAAAACAGAAAGGTAAATATGCTTGTAAGTTTGATAAGTCAAGTAGGTATACTAAGTCGGCGTTTCTCGCGATGTAGACAAAGGGACACATCCAAAAATGGAGGGCAATTACAGCATTAAGTTAGCGTTACTAGCTTTGCTACCGTGAGATGTTGTAACACACTCATAAACGACCTTTTCTAGATTTCAGCTCCCCGATACAGCGCACTTCACGGAAAAACAGAAAGTCACTTACGATAGGCGCCACACCTTTTTATCCTGATGAAGCTCAATGAGTTTTGAATCCACCTTTGGCAAAAGTCAGAAGTGCCAGTGCCAAAGCGCTGACTCGAAGAATTCACAACTTTAGTGCAGGACATAATATTGTCCGAAACAATAGGCAACAAATCGTTAGGAGGCTATAACAAAGCTTAGAAGGCAAAGGCGGCTTTGTGCCACAGACACCTTGGCTACCTCTGCTAAGACTAGAGGTGGACAATCTTTCGAGGTTTAATATCAACCCTTGTCGGGGCAGATATTGTCAGCTGTAATCTGGGGCCTTTGCAATTTTATTCTTTGTGAAAAAAAGGTAGCTGCATGTCGCAATCCGAACCAGTTGATACAAATCAAGGCAACCTGATTTTGCGTTTGTCAAGTCAATTCCTATGGACATAAGTGAGTCTGGGAGCGAGTAGAATACTTATTTTAATGGCTCATATTTGTCAGGGTATGATGGTTTGGCGGAGTCAGCAACACAGATTGCCGCCCCTACCGTTGAAACCTCACAGATATGTGGTCGACAAATATATACACCCGTAGATAGAATAAAATAGGAAAAACGAAGTGATATCTAAAAAAATTAAGCTTTTTGTAGAACTTAAACTCTTCACCTTTGGTATGTATTATGCTAGATGACGAGGTTGCCAAGCTATGATCACGTACCGGCGAAGAAATACATTCTTTACCAAGTCATGGTCGCGCGAATCGTTTAGGACGAGTACGAGGTTAAAGCAACTATCCTCAAGTATTCTAAAGAGCCTAACCTATTTCCTTTTTTGGTAAAGGATTAAAAGGAGAAAGTTGTGATAGCGCTACATCGTGTATTTCACGGTCGCAGCAAAAAAGAATTGATTAGATTCACAATATACCAAAGATAAAGCAAAAACATCCTGCGTTCTACAAAGGCTAATTAGAGCCAAATTTCGGTACCACTTCACGAAGCTGTCGGCTGTGAAGTGATCTGTTGTGCAAAGAAAAGTGTCTACACGATGTGCTCACCTGGCTAGTACAGCGACGCGATTTTGAACCACTGGGGGACTGAAGACACGCAGCGCGATGGTGCAGCAGGGCTACCGTAGCTCTAAGCTCAGGTCACTGACATCTTACGTTCTTTTTAAGAACCAGTACGAGTGCAGCAGATCGCATTCCGCGGCCTCCAAGAGCACTGAAATAGTAACCAAAGTAAGTGAGCTCTTCCGCTCAAAATCAAAACTGTACTTAATTGTTTAGTTGCGGCAGAGCCGTCAAAATCTACAGCCCTAGTTTTTTTCTGATAAATATAGTAATACCTAATAAATGTAGTAAAACCTCAATTAATAGAGTAATATGCATTACTACTGGCAATGCTGCCACATGATGGCTTCTTGTTACGGGGTAGCCACGCCACTGTGTGATTACACCAACTTGTGAAATCGACACCTATGTACGGTCACACCATCTTGTGCGACCCGCCAATTCATACAAGTGTACGTGTAACCCCGTTACAGATAGCGAAGTTCAGATTGCGAATCTGACATTTCTCAGTATGAACCGAGCACCAACAATCTCGAAGAGAGTCGACATGCCATCATAACATACAGAGCTCACGAAAACCAGCCACGGAAGGTTCAACCTCGGCGAGAAGTTCTCGCTAGGAATGCGGTGGCCAACTGTTGTGCAATTGGTGTGTCGCCCAGTACACTGAATTGTCAATAGTATCTGGTGAAGAAGAAGGACTCTTTCCAATTGGATAACTATTGCAAGTTTGAACTCTCACTTCGGTAAAAAGTTTGCCTTGGTGCCGTTGCCGGTTACTACCTAAATCGCCCTCGGCTAGATCTTACTTGGGGGGGATGCAGGACTGTTTGATCTAGCTTGCTTTCTACGATCAAGTAGATCTAGTGGTCAAAACGACCCTAGGTTGGTAGCTGTTACAGCTAACTAACGAAGAGGAGCGGGACTGTAAATACTAAAAAAGTTGGAGGTGACAGGTTTTACCCTGCTATCTGCCGCAACGTCAAGCCTTAATCACGCAGAAGTCGAGCGTCCGCTTCTCTAAGACTATCTTCTACAGCCTTTCAGCACTGGTGGAGGAATACTCTGTGGGTATAGAATAAGCACGCATTGCGACGTTCTGGAGCTGATTTTGCCTTGAATGTAGCGGAAGTTTCGCACGCATTGGTGTGAAAGGGCCCCGCCTCAGCACAATCAGCAACATCATACATTCTAAAAAGCGGAATCATGACGTTAGGTTTTTGAGCACGAGTCGACATAGTTCTTGCGCCATCATAGTAACAAAATGGATTCCCTGGGCCAGGTCCAGCTTAATCGAGATGTGATGAAGTCGTCGTGAGGTCCACGGCGGGCGTCAAAATTTCTTGATGTTTGAAAGGGCACGGAGTACCTTACTCGCGCAAGGGGGGCAAGAGTGGTGAACATCACGCCGTATATCTATATATATGCTGTATATATAGGTCACCCCGGCAAGTCACTGTGGTTGTTCTTATCAAAAAACCATCCTCGCCAGAAAGGGTTTAAGAGCGTAAGTCACAAGGACCACCCTTTTCCGTAGGCTTTTTAAGCTGTTTGATAAAGAGCTCGAGCGGGGAATCCCGGTGCGAGTATGTTCTGAAGAGCAGACGCGATAACGTGCAACAGATGGAAATCGAAATTAAAGGCACGCTAAGTGTTTAGTTTTAAGCAGCGTTTCAAAAAAAGTAAAACACATCGCAGTGGGATAAGGTGCAACAGGATAAGTACTATACTTTCGCATATTTACACCGCACAATTGTATCATATACGATGCATAATGCAGTTTTGAGTTGTTGTAAATAGCCATCAATAACGACGTCACGGTATCTATGTAGATGATGGCACGAGGTCCAACACTAAAGAAATTGTTTGCAGAGCAAATTAGATAACAATACTTAGAGGCCGTCGGTCCTGCTCCTGCGCTGAGCGTACGAACCGATCCGTGTGATCATATCAACGCGGACTAATAAAGTCAAGCTTCCTCTTTGCAAAGCGCTCGGTAGCCCCGTTGCAACATCTTAAAGTACAAACAAGTGAAATAAAGGGTTGGATTTCTTGGGCATACTATAGGCATCCTTTTGCAATCGCCTCTTCAAATTTAGGCTCCAAGACAGCCCACGTTGTCTGATTAACATCAAAACTTGGCACCATCGTCCCAATTTCGACTAATTGAAGTACTGATACACCAGCTCGCTTTTTCAAAGATCTCCTAAAACGTCGAAAATGCTACTTCTAGTCGTTATGACTGTGGTATCAGCGATGATAAATGTAGTGCAAAGCTCATCAATTCGAGCATTAGATGGCATGGGAAATACAGTCGAATGGTGGGCTGTGCTTAAGCTTCCATCGCATATCCAATCATCGTCTGGTGTCGTAATTCCAAATCCATGTGACTGTCCTGTGCCAGATTGTCGCAATGTAGCGACCTCGGAATCCAAAAGTCGACAAACTCGAGGAAAAGGACTTTGCTATCTATATGCAGACTCGAGAATGCCGGAATTTCGTTACTTTCGAGATATTGGCTACGAATGTTTAGGCCAAGGTGGCAATGATCCACTAAGTCACACGTTAAAACAGCGCGAGAAAAGTGCATATTGGGCATATTTCAACGATCAATTCAATGGCATTGCTGCTGCTTTTCATACGCGAAATAGCACAACAACTCAAGAGATGAAACATGTTTGTAATGGTGGTGATGTCTTTAGTGCTCATGCAAAAGGAGCTGTAGCTTTTCAAAATGATTCAACTGGTGGTTTCTTTCTTCAAACGTCGACACCAAATTATCCTGATCCAACACGAAATGATTCTTTTGTGAATTTAGGATGTCAAGTTGATAATAATGTGCAATTCGCACAACATGTCGTTGCCATGTCATTAGATGATCTCGAACTTCATAAACTTGCACAAGAGCTACAGCTTGCAAGATTGTGTTCAAGTAACTTTTACAATGACGAGAATTTTCGTACATTGTTAAGAAGTGATTCTTTAGATCAAGATGGAAAAGAAGAGGAAAATACAACTGCTGCAGCCTTTTATCAAGCACTTTTGAATCCAAATTTACCACTTCCGAAGCCTATGGATCCCATGAAAGCTGAATTTCGATTAAAGTTGTCACAAACGAGTCGGAATGTGTATATTCCACTTGAAAAAGATCAAAAGCTTGTAGATTTGAGTTCATTTAATGATCAGCAAGAAGTTCGTGTTCTCGTGAAAAGTCCACGAGCTACTGTACCACCGTGGGCATTAGTTGCTGAAATGCTTGATTCAGATATTAGTGTGGCTTCATGGTGGGATGGAAGCTATGGCATTCCGATTATTTGTGCTGGTGATAAGTACACACATTCACCTTATGAGTTTTGTTTGAATAATCCATCCACTGGTGTGAAATTAAACGCAGATGGATCTGCTCCATATAATATTGAGAATCTGATGCATGCTACGTACGTGATCAAGAAGAATGAAAGTATCAAAGTCGTTAATATGTGATTGAATGTGGTGATAGGTGGCGAATGAATGATAATGATACCTTTTTGACGTGGCAATTAATTGGTGGACAACTTCTTGATGGGAATCATGGTAAGTGAGTCATGAACGATACGATTTAAAGATTCTAATGGGTTTGTTTGTAGCAAAATGGGGCTTGACAACACCTCGTAGTGGCTATAGAAATCTTACAAATGCTTATGTTATCTTTGGTGATCTCAATATGGAAGGATATCCATGTTCGAAACAGTGCAATGGGTCACAAGCAGGACGAGGTGGAACCTTTTTTTCGTTGATGGAACCAAGAATGCACAAAAGTTTGAGTGAAAATGTCATTTCGGATACTTGTCGATGTGTTTCACCTGATGGAGAAGTACGAAAGGAAAGAATTGAACTAGATGCTGATGGATTTTCGACATTTGAACACGTAAGAATGTGTCATCATGGATGTATTAAGAAACTTCAAGAGCATTTGGAACCAAAAGAATTGCCATTATTAAGCAGAAATGCTTCATCATTTTGGTCTAAGTAGAGATAGTAGTACTAAAGAAGGTTATTTGGACGCTGAAATATATAGCACTACAAAAAATAGTAATTTGTAAGTACAAAAACCTCCAAAAAATGTCCGATGAATCCTTACCATTGTTCCCACGGATAAAACAGTCACCATATTGAGCTTTAAGCTGTCCATTTTGATACTCTTGCGTTTGTTCCATTGCAATATTCATAAAGCCATCTAAACAAGCCAAAACACCTTTATATTCGACGCCATTATTAAGCTTTACGTCGACAGGACGACCTAGCACGCCTTGAAGAAAGTCCGATGGTGTCTTCTTCGTATTCATTTGCTCCGCCATTTTTAGTCAAATAATAACAATACAATTTAAAATTTTACGTTAAAGAAATGGGTAATTTTATTGTTTAATCTACAATGGAGCAGTTGCAACGTGAATATCTTCGTGGTGCGAGACGCAAAGCCCAAACGGCCGATTATTTTGACGTGGATGATGGTACAGATGAAGAAAAGAAAGTTGCTGCAACAGGGGACGAAGTGGATCCACTTGATGCTTTTATGGAGGATATTGATGCACAAGTGAAGCAACAACGCCAAGCACCTCCGAAACAAGTGGCGGACAAGGTGCGACATATTGGTAGAAATTTATTGCGTCATACTAATGCCATGATGCATCAATATTGTCGATATGTGTATGAATCCATAGCCACAAGTATTGAATCTTGATGATGACGAAAGCAACTATTTTGAGAAAGTTGCACGGGTAAGAAGCATATTCGTACACTTTAAATTGATAAGTTGCATGATGATAAAAGTGTTGCTTTAGACTAATAAATATCCCCAAGAATTTGATAATTCCGACGATGAAGTGTATGAAATGGCAAAGGATTTGGATACAGACGCTTTGGAAGAAATGAAACGTAAAGAAATGGAAATTCTCACTCCACTCGATCATGCCACAATCGAGTATGAAAGTTTTCGTAAAAACTTTTACACGCCACATCGTGACATCTGCAAATTAAGTGACACTGAAGTGGCAACGTTACGCTCCAAATTAAATGTTTGCGTCCATGGAGCTCAAGTGGCAACTCCAGTACAATCATTTTTACATCTTGGATTTGATCGTAAAATTGTGCAAATGCTTCGAAAACTGAATCTTGAAACTCCAACAGCAATTCAAGCACAAGCAATACCAGTTGCTTTATCAGGACATGATGTCATTGGCATTGCCAAAACTGGATCTGGTAAAACTTTAGCTTTTACTTTGCCACTTGTACATCATATTATGGACCAAAGAACATTAAAACGAGGGGAAGGACCAATTGCAATTATTTTGGCCCCGACACGAGAATTGGCCCGTCAAACATACATTCTAGTGAAAAAGTTTGTGAGTATGTTTAATGCATCATGTGCTGCAATTTATGGTGGTGCTAGCAAGTACGAACAAGTCCAAGCATTAAAAAAAGGAGTTGAAGTGATTATTGCAACACCTGGACGTTTGATTGAAATGATTCGAAAGAAAATTGTGGTCATGAATCGTGTGACGTTTGTGGTACTGGATGAAGCAGATCGAATGTTTGAAATGGGATTTGAGCCACAAGTGCGTTCAATTATGGGTCAAATTCGTCCTGATCGACAAACACTCATGTTTTCTGCAACTTTTCGTTCTAGGATACAAGCACTTGCTCTTGATGTACTAAATGATCCAGTGAAATTGACTATAGGACACATGGGACAAGCAAATGAAGAAATTCGACAAGTTGCAATTGTTTTACCAAATCATGGTGCGAAATGGCCTTGGCTTATGTCAAAAGTTGAAATGTTAGTGACCGATGGTCGTTTGCTTATCTTTGCTAATAGTAAAACTGGATGTGAGACATTGGCTACAAACTTGGGATTAGCGTGTCCTACAATTTCTGTCTTATCTTTGCATGGTGATAAAACGCAACATGAACGTACAGATGTTTTGCGTCAATTTAAACAAGGCAAATGTCAAGTGTTAATTGCCACTGATGTGGCAGCGCGTGGTTTAGATGTGAAAAATGTGAAAACTGTCGTGAATTTTGATGTGGCAAAGACTATTGATACTCATATCCATCGTATTGGTAGAACTGGACGTATGAGTCACGATGGGGTCGAGCCTGGAACGGCGTATACGCTTGTAACACGCCTCGAGTCGCAGTTTGCAGCGCAATTAGTATACAATATGGATGTGTCAGGACAAAAAGTGTCCGAGGAATTAGTTGCACTTGCACAAAAAGATGGACGATTTCGACGTGGCAAACATGCAACAAAGTGGCAAAAAGAAAATAGTCAAAAAGAATGTGAAGAAAGTAAAGAAGAGCGATTATTAGATGCTTCGGATGTAGCAGAATTGCAGCGATATCATGATAGTCAACGAAAGACTAAAGCTGAGCAACGTCAAGGTGTGGGATTTGGTCATTTCAACGCACGAAAAAAAGTAGTGCATCCTGTTGCATGTGCACCTGCCACAAAATTGGCAAATGCATTTCGCTCAGGGTTTGTCAAGTCGACACTTGATATTGATGCAAATGCAACTTTTTGTGCACCTTCTACTACTTCAGCACCTTCTACTACTTCAGCTATCTCAAGTTCGATCATTCCATCCGACGCCACAAAACTTTCTCCTATCACTACCTCAAGTATTGATCAAGTCTCAGAGGTAACAAATGTAACACTCGACTCCACATCACCTATGAATGTTACTTCAGAGACAGAAAGTAAAGCACGTTCAAGAAGTCGACAAAGATATTACAGTCGTAGCCATTCAAAATCAAGAAATCGATATCGTTCAAATTCTTCTGAACGTGATTCTCGTCGATGCCATCGCTACAAGCGACAAAACAGTAGATCGAGTCCAAGTTCAAGTCCAAGTCCAAGACGTCGACGTCGCTCAGTATCACGCTCACGTTCGAGATATCGAAGACGTTAAGAAATTCTTGAAACAATTTAAAGTCATTTTTTTTTTTGCTTTTCGAAAAAGTTTTCAATGTGCTTGAATGGAAAAGGATTAAACAAAACTATAGGAAAACTAACATGGTATGAGGTCTCACGCTCATCGTGGCCTCTACAAGCGACTCTATTGTGCTTCAACCTGCGTCTCCAAAGCAGCAGATTCGTTACCACTTTCATCTACCGTCGTCTCAATCCCTAGTGTCTCATCACTATTGGTCGTTGAGTCCAAGACCTCACATTTCGTTTCGTCCTCCACTTTCATCTCTGCATTCGTCTTAGCTTCCGTCGTCTCAGTTGTTACTTCCAAAGGTTCCGTCGCTTTACCAACTTGAGCAGCTTTTGCTGCACGACTAACGGCTAAATCGGCTGTCGTAACAATCGCAGGCACTATTTCTTCATCGTCAAAATCATCCTTTTCCATACCTGGAATCGGTTCAAATGGAATTTCTTCAAACGTCGTTTCAAACTTGGCCCAACTTCCACCTGATTCAAAACTTGCCCAACGATCCGATGCCGCACCATCATCAGTACCTGTATCAGTGCTCTCCTGTCTTGATACTTCATCTTCATCTTCGTCGCTACTGCTGCTGTCATTCATAATCTCCGGTAACATTGGTGTATCCGTGTCTTTTCCGTCAAAGTCTCCATTAAACCCGTTTACGTCAGCATCAAAACCTGAAGCACCCAACATTTCAGCAAATTGAGCATTTAACAGCTCATCGTTTTGATTAAATCCCATGACCAAATATGGATCTTCACTAGTTTGTGGAATTGTCACACCACCAAGTGGAAGTCGTTCTCGCTCGTATAAAGGAGCAAGAACTTTACTCGACAAGTCATCCCATTTTTTCCACGTAACGTCGTCTTCTTCAAACAATTCAAGTACTGTATCTGCATGCCGCATATCATTCAACGATCCCTCTTCGTTCGTACTACCTCGAACATCTTCCAACATTGTCATCAACATGTTACAAATACGATGAAGATGACCAACGTAACCAAATGAAAAGCCTTTTGCAACTGCCGTCGCTTCATCATTCTTTTCATGCGCTTCAATAATACGAGGGAGTAAACGTGCATCTTTTACTAAACCTATGAGCAAATCATGACTCCCACTCTCCAAGATTCCAATCACCATACTTTCAACATCTGCATGTAACATATTTACCGACTCAAATTGAAAAAACAAGTCCAAACAAATCGAAATCACATCATTTTCGAGTAATGCGACGTCTACTGTTTGATACTTGGATTGCATCAACGAAACAATAAGTCCAACCATTTTTAAACGACGTAATCCCAATCGTGGAACTTCTTGATGACGTTGATTACGAACCGTTCCTGCATCAGCCGCATTTGTTTTTAAAATGGTACAAATCTGAGGCACTCGTGATACTACACACGCAACAACTGGAGGCATTTCATCCGTAGCACAATATTGAGCATTTGTTGCACGCAATAACAAAGCACTTAATACAGAAATTGCTGCAGTCATAGACGAGATACACGATGCTTTTTCGTCATTTGGTACAGCAAGTGTAATCAGTTTCTCAGCTACTTCCTTTGTTTCCAAATGTTCTAATAATGCAAGTGAGGCAGGAGCATTTGAACTCGCAGGAGAGACTGGATCCGATTGGTGAGCACGTGAACCACAATGAATAATATCCACAAGCACTTCAGCCGCGTGTTTATGAGCATCGCTATCACTTGTTTCATCTGCAAGAGTCGTTAACAATAAATCGACAATTGTTGGTTCTACTTGCCATGTCAAGATCTTTTCTTTTGATCCAGTTGGAGTAACACTTCCACTCATACCATCATCTTCATCCGTTCCATACCAAGAATTACTTGGTGGAAATGTCATTGCCATGCCTGGAAAATCCATACAATCGTCCATATAATCAGCTTGATATGGTTGTAATAGACGCTTAAGCAACTCTGCAATTGAGAAACTAGCCGTATGACGAGCAAATCCCATCAATAATTGCTCCGAGTGTTTATTCATCAATGTCGTCATTTCATGAGGCTTGCGTACCATTAACATGGTAACAATCTTTTCAAAATACCCTGCTAAACGTGGATCAAGTGGTTCCGTTTGATACAAAAATTCAAATAACGTCTCAATGATCTTTCCATCTGATGCTGTAACTAAAGTCTCCGTGATGGTACTAATATCACAACAAATGACTTCACAGGACATGTATGGATACTTTAAAGTACGTAAATCATCAGACATATTCTCAGGTGTGCGTACAACATATTCAATCAGCTTTTGTACAATTTCATCCTGTGATAGACTAGAAAGATACATCACATTGCAAGATATTATGTTAGTCAAGCTTCTTACTATTTCTATAAGTCAAAAGTTATACGTACAAATCCAATAGCTTTGTATTACGTGTCTTGACTTCCTGAACCAATTCATCTTCTTGAAGCACTTGTTCTAAAGTAAAGTCTTCCTTCTCCAACAAATCATTTAGTGGACTTGAAATATTAAAGAGCGATGAACCCTGCGCCCACACGCTACCATCGGTCAAGGCGGAAAAGAGTGACATGCTGTCAGTAAGTAATTTTTTAACGTCCTTATGCTCTCGCTAGAGTAATAACGAAGAAGCAATAGACGCAATTCTTGTAGGTTTCTTCTTCCCTGGTGAACGGCGGCACGTTCCCCCCTTTGTTAGACCCGTTTCTGTGGCTCAAGTAGCTTAAATGCTTATATTAAGTTTTATTCGCGACAGTCTGAGCTAAGAAAAGATTATATGTTTCAAGGTAGCCAGCACAAATTTCTTCGCAACACTGGGGTTCGGGGTACCCAAAATGGGCTATATAGTCTGCATCTTTTTATAACCCAAATATTTCTGTATTGTCATAAGATTACGATTTTGAGGAAGAAAAAGCTGCTTTTTTGAAAAAGGCGGCTTAGATCAGTTTTCTATAGACTTCATTGATTCTTGTCTTCCTTTAATTGTCTGCCAGGCCTGTCTCACACGTCGCGCGTGACGATTGCGGTAGATTGCTTTCGCAACGCGAATGTGATTACTGATCTTTCTAACTTGGTACTTTTCAAGCACTTATTTCTGTAAAATACGTGATCGAAAAAGAGCAAGACGCTCAAATCTTTTTAGGATACCTTCACTTAGTGACTATATCACAAAGCTCAACGCATTTTCAAATGTTGACTTTTTCAAGGTTTCAGATTAGTGTTATATGCTTATCTTTCTCTTTGTATATGTGTTGATGGCTACTTCTAAATGTTTAGAAATAAGCTAGAAGTACAACAGGTTATATTATATATTTCATAGCAGCATTTCCTTTGAAGGAATTATTGATATTCAACATATAATCACTTTCAGTGGCCTATTACTATTTGTGACAACCATATATATCTGGTCCATTGCTAGACAAATTCATACATTAAGTGCTGACTTTTTAGACTTTCTGTTTGCAATGCTTTAAGGAACGAAGGTAGTCTGTTTGAGGCTGTATCAAATGTCTATCAAAGACTTTTGATACGTTAAACCAAAAATCATATCCATATTGATGTCGCACCCAGCTGACAACGATGATGTAGTCCTTAGTAATCCGATCAAAACTCTTTTACATACATATCCTTTCATGGAGTAAACCTGATTAATTAGAGTATCCGGTATCTTTACCTCCAATACCCTTAGTCTTGATAGTGGCTAATCTTATCAACATGGACCACTACTTCTTTTGATGCTCTGACTCTACAAATTGAAAAGAAAAAGAAAAAACAACACCGGCGATCAAATCACAGGTTGAGTCCATGCCGTTAGCATTAGCAGACTACGGTTATTCGAGACTATTTCCGTAGATCGCGTTGAACGCAGAAAGCCAGAAACCCCTAAGTAAGGTACCATCTATTTACAACGGATGGCGAAAGATATTTTTGGGCGATGTGGTTGGAATACGCAGTGCGAATTCCGAAGTGCTGCAACAAGCTTTAGCAATGCTCTATTTAAGTCAAGAAGTTTTTTGGGTCCATGCGGTCGTTCGCAGGCGTTTTAATTTGAAGTTCTCCGACAACTTTTTACTTTTCAGCAAACTGACAAAATCTGGAACACTTCGCTTTTACCACTTATTACCAATTATCACTGCGACTATATTGCAATAACTTCTTAGGCTAAATGATGGCGCTCCCTAATCGGTGGGTGTCCATACAAGGGATGACTCTGTAATGGCGCATTAAGGTGCCCAGCATCACGGCCTATATAGCCAGCCGGCCTAGTTAAATTGTGAATAGGTAAGTTCGCTAAAGCTTTGCAGCTGTCCGATTCATCTCAGTACCGCATGCTGGTAGGATAGGTAGCTGTCTCTGTATTCACGAAATTTCTGGGATCACCGAGATTAATGGCAATTTCTGACCTGAAGGGGTCCTAAGAAAAATTTATATCCCAAAGTGTTCAAATGGCGTGCATTATACGCTTAAAAAAGAGTTCGATTCTCGTGTTGGGTAACATGGAGCACGTGTGTCAGTCAATCACAAAATATGTGGCCCCACCGACTTGTCAATGTTTTGTTAGCGCTGAATCGTATACTGTATAGCAATTGTACGGATCAAACTTCTTCAATTGAACGTATGCAGTAATGAGCTTTTGGGTCCTTAGGAGATTAATGGATTCTTCAAATTATCTCATCCCTCCTCTACGCTCAAACGAATTTCCTTGTTTCTAATCGTTAAAGTCATATCGGAGGACACAAATTTTTTTTTATTGGATCCAGTGGAATCGAAAAAACGAAGTTGACATCTTAGACACATGTACATTATAAATACAAGAAAAAGCAGCAAGCGATACAACAATCGATCCAGTTTTAAATTACGAAAGCGAATTGGTCTTTTGACTGTTCAGAACTGTAAGAGGAATTCCAATTTTGCTGGAAGCTACTAACATGGTGATCATGTACATCATCGTAAGCGTAAAGAAATGGTCAAAATTCCTACACCCGAGATCGGTACAAAGGTCGCGAATCTGAGCATTGAATCATTCGAGGCATCTGACTGAAAATAAACCCTACTTGAATGTTGCTCTACTTCTTTTCAAGATGAATTCACATCAATATCTTTTAACTCAGGTTGATGCAGGGTTGCTCATCTATATCAATAACCGAAAGGCAATGAATACTTTTACAAAAGTTCAGCTTCAAATTTACTGCCATATTAAACTTTGCAGCAGTAGCTAGTCACACTGCGAACAATTACTTTCTTCTGTATACAAGATACATAGACACAATAGCTCATCGCTTCGATTGGGTACTCATCTCTCAAACATTACCTAGACTTTGTCTTAAGAACGATCTCTAGACCTACAATTTTTTAATTAACGGCGTGCTCCACAAGCTTTGCGTAGATGCCCTTCAGCCTTAAAAGCTCCTGGTGCGTGCCTTTTTCAGCAATCTTGCCACCGCTAACCACACAAATCTGGTCTGCCTTACGAATGGTCGACAAACGATGTGCAATTATAATTGTAGTACGCCTTTGCAGCGCCACCACTTTATCAAGAGCCTCCTGAACAACTTTCTCACTTTCAGAATCCAACGCACTCGTCGCTTCGTCTAGTAGTAAAATGTGAGGATTTTTCAAAATGGCTCGTGCTATCGCAATGCGCTGCTTTTGTCCGCCGGATAATTGTTCACCCTTCAAGCCCACCTGTGTATCGTATCCATTTGGAAAGTTGGTGATAAATCCGTGAGCATTAGCCATCTTGGCCACCTCTTCGATGTCTTCCTGACTTGGTTTCTCAGGAAGACCGTACGCAATGTTTTCGGCAATGGTACCAATAAAAAGAGTAGGTTCCTGGCCAACCAATCCAATCTGACTACGTAACCATTTCAGATTCAACATTTTCGTGTCCACTCCATCCAGTAAAACTTGACCTTCAATCGGATCATAAAACCTCTCAAGAAGTGACACACACGTGCTTTTGCCACCACCACTTGGTCCACAGAAAGCAACGGTTTGTCCCGCTTCAATTGTGAGATTGTAATTCTTTAAGACGGTGATCTCAGGTCGAGTTGGGTATCTAAACGTGATATTCTTAAATTCAATCTTGCCGTGGACTGAATCAAGCCGTTGCCCACTTTCTTGGAAGGAATCAATTGGAACTTTGCGGTCGCGCATGTCAACAATTGCTTTGCCAGCTTTCAATGCATTGTCTGTCTCACCCATAAAAGATGTTGCATTGCCAATGCCCTGAGCTGACATCATAATGGCCATAAGGGTTCGTATAAGCTTTTTAAATTGGATCTCACGCTCGTCAACTAATTTGCCACCATACCAAAACACGAGGGAATACGTCGCAAAGATAATGAAGGAGCTAAATCCAATAGCTAATCCATTCAACTGAGCTTCGCGACGTCCATTTGCCAGCGGTTCTTCCAGCAAGGCAGAAAACTTGTTGCCAATCGATTTTTCTAGACCAAGAGTAACGACAGTCCGAATGTTGCTAAGTGCCTCGGAAGCGTGGGCACCAACATCTGAAAGTTCATCAGATAGCTGGCTAGAGGATTTCAACTGTCGCATACGCACTACTTGACTGAAAATTAAAAAGGGAAACACCGTCAGCATCACAAGTGTCAATAACCAGCTTCCTGTCGTAAATGAAATTGCCACCGCTGCCACAAATGTAAAGATCGCCTGGACTACGCGTCCTTGTGAGTCTCCCGAGATAAGAGCAACTTTCGTCGCATTCGTAGATAAATTTGCCGTTAAAGCTCCCGTCGCATTCTTCTTTTCATCAAAGAATCCAATATTCTGGCGACAAAGGGCACGAAAGTGAATATCCCGCAGGCGAGATGTAAGTTTTTCAGCCATGAACTTAAAACAAAAGTTCTGAGTTGCCGCAGCAAGGAACATAAGAAGAGATCCACCCACATAACAAAGTCCGTATACCATTACATCATGCTTAATAGTATCCAGCGCAGATTGACTGTTTAATTCCTTGTATAGCGCATAATTCGTCGTCATCGTTGTGATTAATTCACTAATGAGAACAGCAGAACCTGGTAAGGCACAACCCATCACCGCAGCAGCAATGATCCCGACCACAAATACTGGCCGTTCAGGACGAGAAAAAGCCATGGCATCAAATAATGTAAATGGCTTTTGACTTTCGTCATCCAAGCTCGACTCTTTGTCATGCTCCAGGGATTGACCGTCAACTGACCGGTGACTATGTTGTCGTAAGCTTTGCGATTGCATCTGTTCGCTCCTAACTTCAGTCAATACATTTTGAACTGCGTCAGCCTCTTCTTGAGCCGTTTCAGCTTGAATCGTGTACAGTTTATTGTAAATTCCACCGTTCATTGCAACTAACATGTCGTGAGTTCCTTCTTCCATAACGTGACCAGCACTTACGACCACAATTTTGTCAGCCTTGCGAATTGTACTTAACCGATGGGCAATCACAAGTGTTGTCATTTGAGTCTTTTCCATCAAATTATTCAAAGCTGCTTGAACTACGCGTTCGCTTTCGGCATCAAGTGCACTCGTTGCTTCATCCAGTATCAAAATCTTGGGTTCACGCACAATAGCGCGAGCAATTGCTACCCGCTGCTTTTGACCACCTGACAACGAGATTCCTTTTTCACCCACTAGTGTATCGTATTGCTCGGGTAATGACATGATAAATGTGTGAGCATTCGCTAACATGGCAGCATTTTCAACCTGTTCACGAGAAATTCCATTTCCACCAGCTGCAATGTTTTCAAAGATCGTCGCAGCAAACAGCACAGGCTCTTGCGACACCAGACCAATCTGGGACCGTAGCCACTTTACATTTAACGTCTTGATGTCACGACCATCGAGTAATATTGTACCTTGTTTGGGATCGTAAAAGCGCTCAAGTAAGGCAATGAGGGTACTTTTACCGCCTCCACTAGTACCAACAAAAGCAACAGTTTGACCTGGTTCAATAGTGACGTTATAGTCGTGTAAAATCTGCACATCTGGTCGACTTGGGTATGTAAAATGTATACCCACAGCTTGAATTTGTCCGAGACACGTCGAAGGTTGATCTCCTTCGTCCTGTTTCGATGCATCAATACGAGAGGGGGTATCAAGAATCTTGTAAATGTGTGCGGCTGCTCCCTTTGCTTCAGCAACTGCCGAAACGTTGGGAGTAATTTGACCTAATGAAATTGTTCCCATGAGAATTCCAAAGAACGCTTCAAAGACATCGCCTGGAGTCGTTTCGTCTTCTGCTACTTTGTGTCCACCATACCAGAGACCTGCGGCATACATGAGCCAGATGCTACACATAAAGAGACCAAAGACACAGGATGCAAATTTGGCCATTTGAATATTCGTCTCCTCTGCTTTTGCAGCACGTTCGTTGTACTTGTTGATGGCCAATATCTCTCCATTGAGCGAAGAAACTGTACGAATAGAGCCCAATGTCTCTTCCGCAACAGCACCAGCCTCTGCGTACATTTGTTGTGAATGTACTGCACGTTTTCGAAGAGATGTCATCAAAACAACCAAAGACGCGACCATAACGGGCATAATACATGCCATGACAAGACTCATTTCCCATCCACGTACAAAACCAATGACGTAGCCAGTGATAAATTGGCAAGTGTATTTGACAGCATCACCCAATTTATTGCCCATTCCATCCTTCATTTTCACGGTATCACCTGTAAGACGACTGGACAGAGTCAATGGGTCACTGCTATCATACCAGCTAATATCCATATGTAGCATGTGTTGAAAAGCAGCATCGCGTAACGCTTTCATTTGTCGCTCAGATGAGTTCACAAAGACGACGAAAGCGACGTAATCCGTAATAAAAAGAGCAATAGCAATATAAAAGTAATCCAGAGCTACCTTTTCAATTGCGTCCATATCGACCCCACCATCAGCTTGAGCAAATGCATCAATAGCATCACCAAACACCAGTGCCATACATGGAAAAAGAGCGCCATTAACACCCGCAAAGATGACACCCAAGCCCAACATTAATTTATCGTTGGTGGAACCATACCGATACAATTCCTTGAACGCAATTGTTGGGATCTCAGCCGTTAATTTGGTCGCATCTGTAGGTTCCAAAACAACGCTCGACTTTGGATTGGAGTCTTTCCGTGCACTTTCATTCTCTGCATTGCTTTGGCCACGCGGGGTCATTATCTGCAAGTAAGTATTTTCTGAATCGGGCTCAAACTGGAATTCGTCCTGATAGAGTTGAGGTGATGACATCAGCGAAATTTTCGACAGTTAGTGCTGTGCAAATAGTGAGAATCGTCAAAATAGTACATGAAACGTTTCTGTCTCATCAAAATTCTCTTCACATCTCGTAAAGACGAGACTAAACCGATGCCGTTTACATTATTGGATCCCAGATTGAACGGTAATTTTGATCATTAAAAGAAACTTCAAAGTTATCCTTAACACTTCCATAAAAAAGCATTGCTACGTTGCAGTGATCCACAATGATTAGTGGATATTAGGTAACGATACGCTAGAAAATAGAGTAGACGTGAGATTGAACATGGCGCTACCCTCTAACTAGAATAGAGCAGTTGTGAGATTGAACTTGACGCTACTCTCTACCTCGATCACCTATTTCAACTATTCGAAATATTTGAAACGGAGCCGCTACTGGTGTAAAAAGTATGTGGGATCGCTCTTTAGGTTGATCGCTGTCGAAAATTAACGATGAGGTTAAAGACTCAGAGCAAGATGCTAAGAAGACATTCGATGGTTGACTATTAAGCAAAGTTAATACACCGAGATGGATAATAGTAGTACCACAGTACTACTATGATGACTAATACTGAAACCTAGGTCATGTATAGATTTATATTTAAAAGATTTCATTGTATCATCCACAAAATTACAAGAAAGCTTTTTTTGTTGAAGATAGTCTTGACATGCATACAGATATCGTGCATCTGACCAGCGCTTTGTCTTGATTTAGTCGATTCAAAGTGTACTATAATATTGTTTCTGCTCGACATCATATTTGTAGAACTGCTATTTGACATTGAAACAATTCATAAATACTACAAAAACAGTAAAATATCACATTACTACCTTATTTATCACGTAGAACATCTAATTGAAGTGCGCAGGTCGTATCTTAACTAGCGACGCTTCACCAACCGATGAAACAAGAAGGTTAACTTTATTCTGAAATCTAATGGACCCAGACGTCGGCGACACCCGGCGTAGCTACTTGTCTGGGCTACTTCGCAGTCTCTGGTCTCCACGCAACACAAATATAAGCGCGGACAAAGCCTCGCAACAAGCTTTAACACAATTTCTCGATGATCTCCAGTGCACTGTGTTATACGCAAGTTTGTCAAGTGAAAGTGATGAGATTTCTTTGGCCAATATACTTCAACTTGATGCAAGCCACAATAATCATGAGACGGCAGCATTCTTGAAACTTTACAAAGCAGTACCATTGACAAATGAAAACATGAGTACTAGTGTATACCTCACGTCAGCATTGCAAAAGCCATTACAGAGTTTGTATCAAAGTGTACACCAAGTGTATGCACCATTGTTACTGCGTGATAATGCTCAAGCTCAATTACTATCACAAAAACTTAAAGATGTGCTAATAGAGTTGGATACTGGTTTGGCTGGCACGATTTTAGTACAAGGAGGTAGTGAGAAGAACTTCAAAGCTGCACAAAGTGATGGTACAGATGATGGTTTGATGAGTATTGCAACTATGACGGACGAATTCGCATATTGGAGAGCAATGCAAAATGACGCGAAACAAACTCGACGAGCAAAGAAGTTTAGTGGTATCTTTGAGACGATACACCAACGATTTACAGCATCTTTGAATGACTTAAGCTTTGATGATATGAACGATCTGTTAGATGACGCTTCCAACGTTGTTGACGATCTATGGCGTCTCGATTTAACAAAAGATCAAGTATACTCACAACAGCGAATGAATCATTTACTTGGACTTGTTACGAATGCTATCAATTCATTTATACTTGCAAAAGCACAGTGTGGAGATGAAAAACAAGGTGATGAGATGGTCTGGCAAGCGCCATTTCATTCTGTTCAGCAATTGTTACAACAGGGCGTAACTTTATGTGAAAAATGGCGCAAGACGATTGAATCCCTCACTGGGACATTATGGCCTGCACATAGTGAACACAAGTGGGAAGGCTCTGTGTCTTCTCAAGCGGAACGTGTGCAGTTGCTTAGTTCTCGTTTTGATCAGATTCTACGCGTCAGAACTACGTATGAAGAGCTTCATGCTTTGTTACCCGCAAAACAAGGGGAAAAGGAAAACAACGAGCTTGCAAACTCGTGTTTTCGTCCATTTGAACAGCTCCGTCCGTTGTACTACAATTCGTACACAGAACCAGCTTGGCAGCGCGCTTTAAGTGAATTTGATCGTCTATTGGCTCCGATGGAGACACAAGTTGCCGCAGTTTTACGTGAACGCCTGCGTGCTGTTACGTCTACACCTAGCGCTGCAGCTCGTTTATTACAGCGCTTTCAGCATCTATTGCAACGTTCGACTTTGGCTCAAGCATTAGCTGGTGAACGGGATGCACTTCTTGCGCAGCTTCTCGCACATGTCGACCAACTGGACAGCGACTTTGAGACTCGAAAGCAATCTCTAGGCTCAACTACTGCAAAAGCTCAAGATCATATGCACGTGGGTAAAACGCTGAGTAGTGATGTCAATGTAATTGTATGGGCACACGCGCTGAATTGGCGAGTCACAGATATCCAGCGTCTTGCTCGTAGTGTCTTGCTTGACTTGCCTGCGTTCTCTCGTTTCGCGCAGCAGTGCGAGAGGCTAGCAGCAAAAGCAAGTGGACTGGTTCTTGATCGCGTTCGCGACTGGCAAGAATCCACGATCCGTGCATTAGATGATGATGATGATAGGAATAATGGTCACTCATTGCGACTTCAAGGTCGACTCATGCAAATTGACAAGCAAAGTGGCGATCTAGTAGTCAATTTCAGTGAGTTTCTCGTTACGTTGCTACGCGATGTGCGTCAGCTCACGGAATTATCATCACAACAACGGATGGCACCATCCGAGGCGTGGGTTCCCACACGTGTTCGTCAAGTGGCTGAAGAAGCCGAAAAGTACTACCGTTTTGGCGTGACATTGCAAAAGGTAGCAAATTTTTACAATAGCATTGAGGCACAGATTATCGACGAGCAGAAACCAATGCTACTCGATTCATTGCTTGCATTCGAAGATGCAGTCCAAAGACCAGGAATCACACAAAGTCAGAACCAGAAAGCCAAGAGCAAAGACGTGACGTGGGCAAATTTAGACGAATGTGATGAATACGTCAGTCAACTCCAGACAGCGGCCGATCGACTGGCTGCTGAGAATCGACGCTTGAAACGCGCTCATGAAAAGCTAGGTGATGATTTGTTAGCACTCATGGACGTGGACTTACTTCGATATCCACAGAAATGGAAAGAACGCTGGGACGAGATCAAACGCAGCGCACAAGTGGTAACGCGCAAGCAAGACACGGCACGCACTGCCAAATGGTTTTTGTATTGGGATCACCAAGTGTACAAAGTGTTGGAATCTGGGTATCAATTTGGTTTGGAAATGTTAAATGAGAATCTTCCAGAGATCAAGGAAATTAAGACTGAGCTGCACTTCCCAACGGCAACGCTGGCGTCGGGGCATTCGATCTTGGTTTTAAAACCTCCCATTGAAGAGCTTCGTACGACGTATTACAAAGCTATGAAGAAGTTTGTGGCGAGACCGATCAAATTTAATGGGTTTGGAAACTCGCATGTTTTTTCTGCCATGTGTGATGCAAACGCACGGAATCTTGTACGGGTTTACGAAACCTGTGAGACTTTGTTCTCTCGGTTGGAGGGACTGATAAAAGATTACGAGCATTGGGGCTTTCTAGCACAAATTGGAGCAGGAGGGACGATTGATTTGGACGCCATGATGGAGGCAACATTGCAGGAGCCAGTGGATTGGGAGATTAATTTTAAAACAATTCGAACGAAGCGTAAAGAGAGTGAGAAGATCCCCGATTCAATTAAAGTGGACTGTATCCACTTGTCTTTTGTGTCTTTTAAACGTTCTTTGGACGAATACTTGCAACGATTTACCGAAGCATTACTTCTATCTCTACGCAAAAGTGCACTTAACCACATCCGAATCGTAGAGGACTTTGTTGAGGCATCAATGGAAAGCTTGAATAAGCGACCCCACTCTATTGATGAAATAAGTCTCGCTCAAGCAGAGTGGAAAGACATTGATACCCACAGAAGTGAGATTCAGACACAGTACCAAAAAGCAGAAAAGAAAAAGGCGCTTCTACTCGCAGTATTGAGTGGTGGCAGTAGCGCTGGAATGAGTGGAGCAAGTCTCGATACAAGTGAAATTGAAAGTCGCCTTGCACAGCTTCCGACGCGCTGGGAGAACTTTGAAATTGCCCTTGAGGCTTTTAATGACATGATTGAAGAGCAGCGTGAAAGTCTTAAGGGGGAGATTGAAACGCACGTAGTGGATTGCAATATTGCGATTGATAAACTACGAGAGCAGTGGCGAGCGAAGCGTCCGGTAGAGATTTCATCTTGGGACGACGAAATACTTGACAAAGTGTACGCTGCCATGAATGAATGGCGTCAACGGATGGATGAGATTAAGACCAGAAGTGTGACGTTAACCTCGAATTGTGCTGCCTTTTCAGTACCTAAACCAGTATTTGATGGTCTCTCAACACTTGATGACGACATTCAAAAGCTACAGCACAATTGGGACACGTATCGTCGATTTCGAGAAGAAGTACAGGCTCTTGCAGTGCAAGACTGGTTTGCGTTCTGCGTTAATATTTTTGCATTAGCGGATACCACTCAAAAGTGGGCAGATGCTGTCAAGGAACAGGCGGCTCACGGGACTGAACGTACACCTGTTGTCGACAGGATCATTGACTTTAATAACAGCGTCAAGCGAGCTATGCCAACGCTCAAGCTCTGTCGAGGTGAGCCGTTTAAAGATGATCACTGGACCCAACTCTTTCGGAAATTGGGATTCCCGCGCAGTGTGGACAAGAATAATTTAATTGTGCAGCATTTTATTGACGCCTTTCCTATACTCGAGCTTCCTGCCACACTTCAATTCGTTAAAGTGCTGCATGCTCGAGCTCAAGGAGAAGTCACGATTCGTGATGCTTTACAAGAACTTCGGGCTTGGACAGAAACGGCTGAGCTTGCACTTCTCGCACATGTTCACGACGGACGGCGTGTTGCAATCATTAAAGACTGGAAAGACTTAACACTTGCATTAGGAGACAATCAGTCACTGCTGGCATCATTAAAGGAATCTCAGTTCTTCAAGCCTTTCGAGGTCGAAGCGAGGCAATACGAAATCAAAATGAGTACATTGGACCAAGTGCTAACACATCTCAATATCATTCAGCGAAAGTGGGTCTTTCTTGAGCCCATTTTTTCAAAAGGGGCTTTACCGTCCGAACAAAGTCGGTTTCGTCGTGTAGACGAGGAGTTCATCGACATTATGGGCTCTGTTGAAAACGATCCAAAACTCTTTAATCTGGCCGACGAGCTGATATTTCCTCAATTAGTAGAGCGTTTGACGACAATGGTTGATCAATTAGAACGTTGCCAGAAAGCTTTGGCTGAATTTTTAGAGGAAAAGCGGTCGCGGATGCCTCGATTTTACTTTATTGGAGATGAGGATTTACTTGAGATTCTCGGTCAAGCCCAAAATCCGACAGTTATCCAGAGTCATCTTAAAAAACTGTATCAAGGCGTCCATCGTGTCGAATTTTCTGAACGGCAAGACCAAATTGTGGCCATGTTGAGTGCGTCAGGTGAACGCGTCGATCTTCTGACGCCTGTAGCTGTAACAAGTAATGTGGAGGAATGGCTTGAGGTGTTTACGGAAGAAATGCGTCGCACCATTCGTGTTCTGACGACGCGGTGTGTTAATGCTAGAGCACCCGACTATCAAGCATTTCCATCACAGGTCTTGTGTCTCACAGAGCAAATTCGCTTCTGCTCACAAGCTGAAGCAGCTATCAGGAATGGTCAAGTGCAGGATCTTAAACAGACTCTACAAGACACTCTGCGTGAACTCACGTCGTTGGATTTAAGCACTGAATTGCTGATGAGTCTCAAAATCAAGTCATTGGTGCTTGACTTGGTTCATCACATTGATGTATGTGATCAGCTTTTGGCTGCAAATTGTCGTTCGGGAATCGAGTGGATCTGGCAAAAGCAACTTCGCTTTTATCTTGATACGCAAAAGGCAAGCAATGATTCAGCGACGTGTCTGATAAAAATGAATGATGCTGAATTTGCATATACGTACGAATACCAGGGGAATGCACCCAAGTTGGTTCACACACCACTGACAGACAAGTGTTATTTAACTCTTACACAAGGAATGCACATGGGTTTCGGTGGGAACCCGTACGGTCCAGCAGGTACGGGAAAAACTGAGTCTGTAAAGGCTTTGGGCGGTCAATTTGGACGTCAAGTGTTGGTGTTTAATTGTGATGAAGGAATTGATTTTCAATCAATGGGTCGCATCTTTATCGGTCTTGTGAAATGTGGAGCTTGGGGCTGTTTTGACGAATTTAATCGACTGAAAGAAGATCAATTGTCAGCGATTTCGCAGCAGATTCAAGTTATCCAAGACGCAATTAAAGAGAAAGCAGGAACGATTAACCTTCTAAATCGATCCGTTGACGTCGACTTTAATGCTGGTATTTTCGTGACTCTAAATCCTGCGGGTAAAGGTTACGGTGGACGCTCAAAATTACCAGACAATCTTAAGGCTCTCTTTCGACCTGTTGCCATGGGTCGACCAGATAATAATCTGATTGCTGAGGTGATTCTGTATTCGGAAGGATTCAGTGAAGCCAAAGATATTGCACCCAAAGTTGTTTCCCTTTACTCATTATCTGGTCAATTATTGTCCCAACAACAGCATTATGATTGGGGCTTACGCGCTTTGAAAGCAGTTTTAAATACTGCTGGTAAACTTTTGCAAGCTGAGAAAAAAGCCCGAGCGACAAATACTGGTAACGTCAATGGGCAGGATGAGTCAAAGTTTTTGGACTTGAAACCAATAAGAATGAAGCCAGCTGAAGAGACAGAAATCCTGATCAAAGCTGTACGTATAAATACGCTGTCAAAGCTCACTTTTGTCGATTCAATGCGTTTTCTAGCCTTAATTGGAGACGTATTCCCTGGTGTTGAATCTGCTGACTTGGCTGGTGGTGCTCTCGAGGAGGCGATTCGAGATGTTATGACTGGCAAACCATTCTTTCTTCAAGTTGATGACATGCAAATTCGCAAAATGCTACAGCTGAAAGAATCGCTCGATCAACGGATGGGTTGTGTTGTGGTGGGACCTTCAGGTAGTGGCAAATCCACTGTGTGGCAGGTGTTACAGCATGCATTGATTCAGTGTGGTCAACTCGTGAAAACCCATGTAATGAATCCAAAGTCGATGCCACGTGAACGATTACTTGGTCATATGGATTTAGATACGAGGGAATGGGAAGACGGTGTGCTCACAGCTGCTGCGCGTCAAGTTGTCAAAGAGCCTGAAAATGTTCGCTCATGGATCATTTGTGATGGCGATGTGGACCCAGAATGGATTGAATCATTAAATTCCGTCTTAGATGACAATCATCTTCTCACGCTACCAAATGGTGAGCGAATCAATTTCGGTCCGAATGTTAATTTTGTGTTTGAGACGCACGATTTGCGATTCGCATCTCCTGCCACAATTTCTCGAATGGGAATGATATTCCTATCAGACGAAGATATGGCGATCGAACGGCTTGTGACTAAGTGGATGCTCACTCTTTCACCAGCTATTGATCCAAGTACTCGCAACACCCAAGACGCTTTGAAACAATGGATTGATGAGTTGTTCGCGAGAGGATTGGAAGAGCTGCATAAGTACGAGGTGATTGTCGCTACTACAACAGTTGGTACGATAATGAACGGATTAAGTCACGTAGCGACTGCAACGACTCGATCAGAATTTGTCTGCGCTATGGTTCGTGGCTTAGGTGCCAATTTGGCAACCACATCTCGAAATTTGTTTGCAAAATCTCTGTTTATGATGGCCAATGAACGTCCACCTGATTTGAACGCTCCGTTGGATTGCTACTGCCAAGGTTCAACTTTTTACTCATACGAAAACAAACGTGACACGTTTGGAGCGATGGATGGCAAGATGGATCGCAAAGACTTGACAATAAGTGGAATGGATGCAGTAGTGCCCACTGTCACTGTGCAACGAGGATTGAAGCTCATTGAACCGTGGGTTGATAAGATGGAGCCGTTTATTCTCGTAGGACCAGAAGGAAGTGGCAAGAATATGTTGATCAGGCAAGCTTTTAAGAATCTTAAAAATGTGACTGTCTCGGTTCTTCACTGCAACGCGCAGACAACGGCAGACCACGTGATCCACAAAATTGCGCAGTGTTGCTCGCTATTCTCCACTCCTACGGGTCGCATATATCGTCCTCGCGACGCAGAGCGTCTTGTCCTTTATCTTAAGGACATCAATTTACCAAAACCAGACCAGTACGACACGTGTATGTTGATTGCATTTTTGCAGCAATTGATCACTTTTAATGGCTTTTACGATCAGCATTTGGAATTTCTTGGAATTGAAAAGATTCAACTTGTGGCATCTATGAACGCAGCCACGACGGTCGGGCGGCATCCACTGTCCACTCGCTTTACAGCAATCGTCAAGGTTGCATACATGGATTATCCCTCTACTGACGAGCTCGTAGTAGTATATTCTACCTTTTTAGAAGGTATTATTGATTCTATCAGCACGTCACTTCAACCCTCGACGTGGCGTGAGTCCAGTAATCGCGATCGACTTGCAAAGAGTATGGTTGAGGTCTTTGACACGGTCAAGACCAAGTTTTCTGTCGACGAACAACGACACTATCTATTTACGCCACGAGATTTAACCAAGTGGGTCTTTGCGCTCACACGGTACGATCTGGAACATGAAAACGTGCTAGATGTACTGGCTTACGAAGCTCGTCGCCTCTTTCGTGACCGTCTCGTGGATCACGACGCGAAAGCAAAGTTCGACGGCATTCTAAACAGCGTGTGGAAGCAGCAATGGCGCCACACTATCAAGCTGCAGGATATCTACTTTACTTCGCTAAATTGTCGATCTAATGGAGCTGAAGTTGTTAGTGCTGCTTTGACCGCAGCACCCCTTCAGCAAATTGCAAGTGACGAGTTTTCGCAAGTGATAAATCAGGGAATGATTCTTTACGAACGCGAAGACAAGGATCTGCATATGCTGCTGTTTGACGAGATTCTCGAGCACTTGGCGATTGTGGAGCGCGTTTTGTCTGAGCCAGGTGGCTCACTGCTTCTAATTGGAAAATCTGGAGTTGGCCGCCGTTCTGCGACGACACTGATCTCGTACATGCTTAACTACACGATGTTTTCACCCAGTCTCACCCGGAATTACAATGATAACAGCTTTCGAACGGATCTTAAGACGCTACTTGTCAAGGCGGGAGTGGAAGGACAGCACTTAGTACTCTACTTAGAAGATCATCATTTTACTCACGATGCTATATTAGAGCTTACAAACTCGCTGCTCAGTTCAGGAGAAGTACCCGGCCTTTACACGCACGAGGAGATTGAGCCACAAATTGCACCTTTGAAAGAGCTCATGCTTGAAAGCATTGGCGCGACGGGACAGGAGCATATCCGAACCGTCTACGACTTTTTTGTATCTCGTATCCGACAATTTGTTCATCTAGTGATTGCTATGGATGCTCGAAATCCGCCTTTTGTACTTCGTTGTGAAAGCAACCCAGCGCTTTACACACGCTGTACTATCGTGTGGATGGGAGAATGGAATTCGAGCAGTATGGTGCGCCTTCCAGAATTGGTATTGACTGGCTCAGAGCTGGCGAATAGTCTGATAAAAACGACGCCGTTCATTACAAGTTTGTATGCGAGCTGCAAAGAGTTTGGCGCAACACCACGAGAATTGATCTGCTTTCTTGGTACGTGGAATACACTGTTTGAAGTAAAATGCAAGCAGATTGTACAGGAGATACGTCACTTGAAGAGTGGCTTGAGTAAGTTGGAAGAGGCGAGTTTGACTGTGGACGAATTGAGTCGAAACGCCGAGTCAAAAAAGAAGAATCTTGGTGCTGCACAAGTTTCAGCTGATGAGGCAATGAAAGAAATCACGAATGCTCTAGATCGTGCAGCTACAAATCGACGCGAGGTGGAGGACCTAACGAAACAACTTGCAACGGCTGAGACGGCTACAAATGCTCGTAAACGCGAGATTGAGCAAGAATTGAGTGAGATCACACCTATTTTACAAACTGCAATGGAAGCAGTAGGTAATATTAAGAGTGACAATCTTAATGAGATTCGGTCGCTAAAAATGCCCCCGGAGCCGATACACGATGTGCTGTCAGCTGTGCTAATGTTGTTGGGTATTCAAGACACTTCATGGAATTCCATGAAAAAATTTCTTGGAAATCGTGGAGTTAAAGAAGACATTTTAAACTATGATGCGCACCGAATAACACCCGAAATTTCGAAAGCCGTCACGAAACTTGTGCGAGGTAAAGCCTCATCATTCGATCACGAAACAATCTACCGAGTGAGTGTTGCTGCTGCTCCATTGGCTACGTGGGTCAAGGCCAATCTCAAGTATTCGATGGTACTTAATAAGATCGAGCCACTAGAAATGGATTTAGCTGAAGCAAAAAAATCACTTGAAGCTTCACAACAACGTCTTTTGCAATGTGAAAGCGAGTTGAAGAAAATTGATGTAACAGTTAACCAAATGAAGATTCAATTTGGAGAAAAGACCAAAGAAGCTGAGATCTTGCGCGTGAATCTTGAACAAGCTCAAAGCACACTTAATAAGGCACAAATTCTGCTAGGTAAACTTGGTGGCGAGAAACATCGATGGTCGGAACAAGTAAAAGAGCTAGAAACCCGCTTGACAGACTTACCAGTGCGAATGTTGCTGGCTGCTGCCTTTACAACATTCCTTGGCAAATGCTCGGAAGACGCTCGTCGACGGGTCGTAATGGAATGGGAGCGTAATCTCCTCGAGCAAACATTTTCTGTTGGTAGTGTACACTTTGATTATCGCAAGCTTTTAAGTTCGGAGAGCGAACTTCTCACGTGGAAGGGAATGGGACTTCCTTCTGACAACTTGTCCATGGAAAACGCACTCATTATCTCGTATTCAAGTGGAGAGCGTTGTCCATTTATCATTGACCCCGCAAATGCATGCACAACGTGGTTACAAGCGGAATTGGCGAAGGACTCGACGCGTCCACTCTCGATTGTTCAATCCCAAGATGCTCGATTTGTCAACATCGTCGAACAAGCTGTACGCTTTGGAAGGACTCTTGTCGTGCTTGACGCGGACAATGTCGAGCCGTATTTGTACCCATTGGTTCGTAAAGATCTGATACACCAAGGTCCACGCTTTGTCGTGGCATTAGGTGACAAAGTGATTGATTATAATGAGAACTTTCGAATGTATTTAGTCACCCGAAATCCGTCCCCTCCACTAGCTCCTGATGCTATGGCAATCGTAAATGTCGTCAATTTTACGGTCACTAGATCAGGATTAGAGGGTCAGCTTTTAGGTGTCACCATTCAACATGAACAACCCGAACTAGAGCAAGAAAAAAGTGAGTTGTTGCGACAAGAAGAAGAGTGCAAAGTGCAATTAGCAGCTTTAGAGAAACAATTGGTGGAGGCTCTGGCAACATCGGAAGGGGATATACTGGAAAATACCATGTTGGTCGAGTCTCTTACCAAGACAAAAGCCACAAGTGCAGAGATTGAAAGCGCACTGGAACGATCAGGTAAGAAATCTGAAGAGCTGGACGAAAAACGCGACTCGTACTCCCCTTTTGCGCGCGAGGGTGCGAGATTATTTTTCTTGGTCAAACAACTTTGTGGAGTCAACCACATGTATCGCTTCTCGTTGGCTTCGTTTCTAGGACTATTTCAATCTACTTTAGTGACGAAGATGGAGTCTTCAAGTACAAAAGACCGCATCTTGCGCTTGATTCCGATACTGGAACATAAAGTGTTGATGTTTGTTGGCCGTGCCCTCTTTAAAGAACATCGACCAATGTTTGGTATGCACCTGGTGCACGGAATGCATCCAGAATGTTTCGAGAGGAATGAATACGAATTCTTCTGTGGTGAAGTAGTGGAGACCGAAAGAGGCTTGGGAGGACACACAAAGTTTCCAGAATGGGCTTCACCCGAGAGAAAAGAGGCATTTACACAGCTTGTCGAAGCTTTGCCACGCTTGGCTCAGCTATGTAAGTTCGACAGTCACGATCTATGGATTCGATGGTCCAAAGCGATGGAATGCGAACAGAGTTTTCATCCGAAGATGGAAAAATCTGGGTCCGTTGGAGGTCTCTCTGCGTTTCAAAAGCTTCTTGTGGTCCAGGCATTGCGTCCTGATCGACTTCAAAGTGCCATTATCCAGTTTATCTGCAATGTCATGCAAATTAAGTCTTTGACTCCACCCTCCCTTGACTTCAAGGCTATTAGCACGGAAGAGGCTACGAACACAATACCAGTTCTTCTCTTAACGACAGCAGGGGCTGATCCGTCAAAAGAATTGGAAGAAGTAGCAACATCAATTGTTGGAAAGGGTCACTACTTTGAAGTGGCTATGGGTGGTGGTCAGCAGGACAAGGCAATTAGTCTTCTTAAATCGACTGCAGAGCACGGCGAGTGGTTATGTCTACAGAATCTGCACCTTGTCATTGCATGGCTTCCAGTGCTTGAAAAAGAAGTGAGTGCGCTTAATGCGAATCACAAGTTTCGTCTGTGGCTTACTACCGAACCTCATGATGGCTTTCCGTTGGTTCTGCTCGAGCAAAGTCTTAAAATTACGTTTGAATCACCACCAGGAATGAAGAAGAACCTGCAACGAACGTATGCGGCATGGACCCCGACGTTTATTGCAAAGGGGTCTCCTGCACGTGCACAACTTCTATTTCTACTAGCTTTTTTTCATGCTTTATTACAGGAGCGACGGACGTATATTCCGCAAGGCTGGACAAACTTCTACGAATTTTCTTTTGGAGATTTTCGTGCAGGCTCAAACGTCATGGAACTGGCGTGTCAGACTGGAAGTAGTAGCATCGACTGGCAAACGCTACATGGTTTAATGGAAAATGCAATTTACGGCGGACGTATCGACAATCCGTACGATCTGCGCGTTCTCCGCTGCTACTTGACCGAAAAGTTTAATTACGAGCTTCTTTCAGGACAAAAGAGTCTTTTGCGTGGAGTGAAAGTTCCTCAAAGCACTCAACACGCCGATTTTCTTGATCTAATCGATCGTTTCCCGGACGTAGACGCACCAGCCATGTTTGGCTTACCGGATAACATTGAGCGTTCTATGCAGCGGTCGCTCTCTGGTCAAGTCATTGGACAGTTGAAAGCTTTGTCATCCAGTGCAGCTGAAGCGACAACATTTGATCGTGAAAAATGGCGAGCTCAGCTTAATCCACTGCTAGAGACGTGGGGAAAATTGACGACTGGCTTTCAATTGGAAGGAACGACCACAGTATCAAGCACTGGAAAGAATTTACAAGCCATGGCGCCAATCGATGCTTTTGTGGCTTTGGAGAACGAATACGCTCTGGATTTAAGTCAACAAGTTAATTCGAGTCTACAGGCATTAAAGAAAGTCATATATGGCACTGGTCTCCTAACTCCTGCCATTCAGGCTGTTGCCAAAGCTTTACTCAAGGGTCTTGTGCCGACAGAATGGGCTGTTCAATGGGAGGGCAATGAGAACGTTGTAACGTGGCTACGTGGACTTGCCGTGCGTAAACGTGCTCTATTGGAGTGGCAGGAGGCTGTTGGCACTGGACAGCTGCTTGTCAAAGGTCTTGATCTATCCGAATTGCTTCATCCAGGCACGTTTCTCAATGCGCTTCGTCAGCAAAGTGCACGAGAACAAAAATGCTCAATGGACGGGATGAAATTGCTTTCGTGCTGGGAACGTGAGCGTTTAAGCGGCACAAAAGTTGAATGGTTTGAGCTTACACGACTTTTATTACAAGGTGCGTCGTTCGAAGGAGGCACGCTGTTAGAAGCCGCATCGGACGCTCAAGAACTCGTGACGGTCCCATCATGCTATATTGCATTTGTACGTGAAGACGCCCAAGAGATGTATGAAAAGGAACATTGTATCCAAACGCCATTGTACTATGGTACAGACCGTGAACGAATGCTCGTTGAGATTTCCATTCCTATTGCTGGTGATCGTGCACGTTGGATCCTTGCAGGCATAGCACTGTTTCTAGGCGAGTAAAAGGCTCAAGTTGAAGTTAATGATCTTTGACAGGTGTAGTTTTTCTATGAATTTACATAGGTTGCTGCTTCTTCCGTTTGTATTCACTCCAGTCTTTAATGGGATTGTGTTCGTCGAAATCAAGTGCTAGGACGAGTAAAGTAGCACTTGTCTTGCCACCAACTGTAAGTGCAAATCAAAAGGAACGAAATGTGGTTTTGAATGTTGTTGAGACCATGTACATGGACCGAGACGTCGAAGTGTCTATGACCAAGTCGGATGATGAGAAGTCCCTGCAGAATGGCGATTTTGAGGGAACAAAAGCGAAGGTCAAAGTAGTTGAATGTGAGGCAGACAACGTGCTACTGCGTAGTCCAGACAGCGTTGTCAACAAGTTTTTGATTAATGGATCACGTCGAAATGTTTGTTATAATGCTGATGATCTCCCGATTTCTTCAACGTATCACCGCGTCCATAGTGTCGAAATGGCTGAACAGGAAGAGAAATGGCGTAGAGAATTGAAGCTTGAGAAAGCACAACGAGAAGAGGAAGTACGTGAATATAAGAAAACCCTGCAAATAGCGTGAAAGTTGTCAAACAAGAAAAGCTTGGAATCGATTTTACAAGAATGACGTGAAAAATTAGTTGTAACAAAGACATTGATTCAGAATGCAGTTTCTTTGTCAAACCTTGATCGTCTGTGTTATGACTTGAGCAAATCGAAAGTTGTTCAAGCGTCTTTTCTTCCTATTTGGCCAGTCAGGGGCGCAGTGGGATTCGTATTGGACTTGTTGCTGCTCTCGTACAACATCCACTCGTGGTTACCACAGCACTCATGACCAAAGATCCTACATTGTTGTTGTCAAATGAGCGACCACGTGGTAGTTTTTTTCATTTAAATGTGATCAACTGAAAGGGTTCGACCCATCGTCATGTATTCGAATTAGTTATCAGGGAACACCTTGATGCTGTCGATCCAACTGTTCCAATGCGATCGCGCGAGAAGAGTAAGCGTTCTCTCCTCCTTTACTCTAGCAGCCAAAGAGTGTGTACCGTGAGCTAATGGACGAGCCGGCACAAGCAGCAAATCTTAATGGCTCAGTGGCTAACAAAAACCAGCCGGGCCGTAATACGTGTACAGATGGCGCAACTTGATGCAAGTCGTGCCTGATAAGACAGTTTACCCTACTTCAAACTATCCGATCATTAAAATACACGTTTGCAGCTTGTTGAGTTCTCTCACGTCGAGAGTAGACGCTTGTTTTTAGTGATCAAGTCAATGTTATAAATGAAAGCAATAGCGTGGAACGATGGATACGACTATCGCAAGAATACTTTTCGGACATATTCTACTGGATTATGTCGATGGGATAAGCGAAAAAGTGCTCAACCATACGCATTGTGTCGTACATAAATATGGTCAGCATCCGCTACAATAATCAGACGACGCTCGAGACGGCAAGGGTGGATAAATATCGAAGATGGCGACACGACAGCGATAATGGCGTTTCTGCAAAGATTTTTTCTCGTTTGAAGCTGGCTGCTATTTGAATCAAACTAAAATTTGGAACGAGCTCTTTCAACTTGATTAAAATTTCATAACCTTATTCAAATCGTGTTAGAGCCGGGTCGTCCAGCATACCCTTCGGGAATATATGGGTTGTTTTTTGGCCACTATGTTACGCCATTCTTCGCGCCGACGCAACTCTTGAGTCCACATACAATCAAGCACATGACAAAGATTTTAAGCTCTGACTCTTTTGTCAACTCTACTTGTTGTGTGCGATTACAGACGTTAAAGACTGTATTCTAAATTTCCAAGTGTTGTACTTTACATGTAATTTATGTGTCTGTACTGTAGTACTGGATTTCTATCAGATACTACTGTACGGATAAGCTGTGTGTTTTTCTCTAAGATTATGAAATAATCCAACCACAGTCAGTCGCCACTCACTCTCCATGTCGTTTTTAAATATGGAATGACTTGGCAAAAACACGCAAAGATTGCTCGAGGAAAGACCTTGCTTTGATCGTACGAGCATGCCTCTTCTTCTCAAGCTTTCCCGCAGATAGTAACTTTTTTGTGAGGTCACCCCTGTCAGAGAGATGGAAGTTGGAAAAGAGATTTTGTATCAGTAAACGTCCGTGTACTACTGTTCGTTTAAAGGAATGCACTGGTTCTGTACAGGGTACGTCATTCAGGGCGCCTGCACGCCACAGAGGCCTTTTGACCCATTTTCGGTGTAAAAATCCATTTTACTATTTCAATTAAATAGAGTTTCAAACAGCATGTGATCAAGCTCTAGCTATTTTAATAGTATTCTAATGTAGATAGAAGAAAGATTCATTACAGGTAAAGGTTTCCATCGTTTATTTATATAAAACATGATACTACACTTTGAAAACAATCTCATATCTACCTCTTTTTTTAAAACCAACGACCCATTTTGTGTGATATTTAGGTCTTTTCAAATGGAGATGCGTCGGGGACCTGCGCCACCCACCGTAGGACAGCACCAGGCGCACTCTTCGACAGTAGACAAGAAATGCCAAGTCCCCGATCGTTCATTTCTCTTTTTTATTCCTGACACTGAGATACTGTATCGTGCTACGTTGGGTGCACCGTTCTGTCGCTGACCAAAAGGTTGATCCCACCCATTCACTACGTACACACCTCATGGCTGTTAGTATGACACTTAATCAGCTTTATGCCCCGTCGTCTTCGGCCTCGAATGTTGGTGCTGTGCTTACAAAAGATCGCACACATGCGTCACATCCGCTTCAACACATGGATCGAATATACCAAATGCCTTTTCCAAACCAGTATACATTGCAATATCCGTCATCTTCGTCTACTATGCACTTTCACTCACTTTCAAAGTCGGGACTAAGTATTTCGGACGATTATGCTGCTGATCCACTACCATTTGAATACAGTCGGAAGTTCTCACCTTCACATCGTGATGACGTCACTACGGGGTTACGTGGATCCGTTTCTAATGCTACATCAAGTGCTTTGATGCATTTTGATTCATATGGAACGCATTCAATCTATACACAACCGACAGCTACGCAACGACTTAATTCGTATAGTCAATCGCATTATCCGGAATCAAGAGGCTATCACTCTTCTGAGATAACTGCGCAGTCTTCATTTCCACGAACTCCAATGTATCATCCAATGGCATCACTCTCGAATCATTTACCGTCACATTCGATGAATACGAAGAAGGAAGTTGACGTCTACACTTCTCCTCAAACGTCAGTGTATGGAGATACCCAAAATTCCGTAGGGACTGTTCAAGAAGCCATGATTAAAGTCAAGACACCACTTAAACTCAAGTATTGGCGTAATGGACGGCGGAACTTACAGTGTTTTCCAAGCTGTAAAGTGTTTGGAGACTATTCGGCGATTAAGATTGAAGATCTGAAACAACATGATTTTATGTGGGGCAAGTGTCGTGGTAGTTTAGTTACTGAAGTCACGCTTAATAGCAACATGACGTTTGATGATCTCATTCTACTCGGACGCGTGCATTCGCTTGAGAATATTCCAATAGCTTTTGAAGAAGCTGTGATTCGGGAATGCATGTTAGGACGAACAGTCGAGTCTGAAGAGATTGAAATGATGAAAGATCAATGGATTACTGGAGAACGATTTCCAAACTTTGTACAGCAAGAAGGAAACGTTGCATGTTTTGAATTTAAGCCGAAAGTTTGGAAATACAATGAAGATATGGCTCAAGGCAAGTGTAAACGACGCAATGTCAAGTATTATGTTCAATTTGAAGCTTTTGTTCAGATGGTTAGTGGTGATCGACGCTACTACGCATGTATTGGTTCGGGTATGTCTACATCTTTTGAAGTTGGTTCAAGCCGAGTTCTCGCTCGTCAGAAACGAAAAGCTGCTTTTTGTGGATCAGACGAGACCAAAGACATTCCAGAATCTGAAATGACGTCCATTCAATGTGGACAGTCGCAATCAATGATGACGCATAATGCGAATCCTCTCATTTCGAATGTTATGGCGACTCATCCTATGTACTCACATCAGTCGACATTTCACCACGACAATCCATCTCGAGGGTTGCCACTGACGTTTCCTCACCCACAAATAACGATGAATTCCATGCCTCAAATGTCGTCTGAAATCCAGTATTCATTGCCACAGCAACAAGTGAATGCGTCGCAATCATTAATTGGGATCAAACGCAAAATGAACAGTGAACGACCAGCTTTTCCAACGGAACATTCGGTCAAGATGTTTAAGACCGCAAGTGGCATTCCCCAATCAGTGCCAATTTAATGATTTGCTGCGATATCATATGCGTTCAATGCGTTCATTCGTTTTAACGAATTGATCGCTAGCTGTGTGCTCTGTTGATAATAAGTGTGAGTTCGGAAAGGAAGACTACGCGCGAAGTAGCGACATAGTATTTTTATGTGTATATAGGAATTTTGAGTTGATTCAAGCTAAGCCGAAGGCCTGCCCAAAGGTTAATTTAGAGGGCCATGTCGTTAAATAAAGTCTCGGTATTTATTGTGATTAAGAATTGCATTTTGTTTACGGTTTAAATATGGTACGGATGAGTTGTTGACGTAAGCTTATGGTTACGAAGCTTACGTCTTGCGTCACAGGATCAGGTCCATCTTTTGATGGAAAAGCATAAGAAACGCTATAAGATCTTCAGCTATTCACAATCATGAAGAAGAACATGCTTGAACATTGAAACGCATTCTGAAGACTAGATTTGTAGAGCTTCTAATGATTTTTTTTAGATATGCCATGGAATGACGTAGATTCAAACAGACTACACAAGAGAAAAAGTAACTGGAAACGTGGTGATAATGTAAACTGTCGTTGAAACGGTTCCAAGAGGAATCTAATGCAGCGTACTTTTGTGATCAACGAATTGGATCGTGATGAATTGCAATGTTCGTACGACATGTCGACCGTCTGGGTGATTATTACGGTGCATCGTTGGACATGTTCGCTTAGAAATTGAACTTGCTAAAGTATAGAGTCGGACGGCGAGAAGGTATACCAAAGCGGTCGAATTGACTAAAGAAAGTTCAAAAATGGTAAGGACATCGTTATCTGGAGGCAACACATGCGACTCTAAAGTTATACTTTTGCTTTCTGTGTATTGTCGACATGGGGATTTTCGTTCCGTGGTTCTTAGTATAATAGCTTCTAGTTTTAACCTCAAATTCGAGTTCTCATAGGTGAGCGTAATTTAGCGAGCTTATTTTCGGTAGTTGTGATGAACCGACGCTAATGCTGTTGTGTTCTGTCTTGATTAGAATATCTCTTCGAAGCAGTCGCCTTGTTTATGCGTTTATGCGTTTATGCGTTTATGCTTCTCATGTTACAAGGTCAAGGCTCTCGATCGAAAGAAATGTACGAGACTGCACATTCGTCAAAGTAGAAAACATTTATACGCTGAGCATTGTAAAGCTACAGTTTCGTGAATATTGACATGAACTTACTTTGAATGCCAAATGTCGACAACTCACAAAAAATCGTGAGACGAGTACAGTTCGTAACTCGGCATATTGCTGCGTACGTATAGCGAGGTGAGTGCTATTTACGGTCGGAAAGGCATGAACAAATGTTCCACGATGGTTCAGTATATGCAAAATAGAAATCCTACTTATCAAGTCTGACACCAGAAATCATTTCAGGTTAGATTTTGAATTTCTGCTAGACGAACGTAGTCATCACCTTTTCGAGAAACAACTCGTCGCAAACGTGAAGCTCTACCCTTCATGCAGTTCGCTAGTGTTTCATTGGATACACTACTATCAAGCATTTTTGAATGCTGAATGACGAATGCTCTCAATTCTGTTCAGATCAGACTACCAGAGTGCGATTGCATCCAGCTCGATGAAGACTAAGTAAATGGCTATAATCATGCACACAAGGTGTACTCAAAATGCATGCGGAGCTCAAGAATACGAAGCTTAGATAAGTGGAAAGCAGCATCAAAAGGGGCATTAGCTCTGACGTAGAGTTCTGATTCGCATTTGTCAACTTGGGGACATCAAGTCAAAGCATCCATTTGAGGAATTTCTGACAGCAACGGTCAACCCCACAAAGCCCAGGCTTCTAAACGGTCTAGCCAAAATCTGATGATAAGTGGTACAAGACCTAGGACATCACAGAACTACGGTAGTGATTATGTTTCTGTCATACTTACGATCATTCCTCCATGGCAATCTTTGGTCCGCTGTAAGTATATACCTTCGGCTTGTAAGTCGAGTTCGCCTGGATTAGAATCATCAGTCTTTGTGGGCCGATTCTTCCATGAGCTTATGCTTGATCGTGCGGTAGTGCCATAACACATACATTCGGTTTCGAATAGTAGAGAATGTTCAACAGACCAGCTTCTAGATATTCTAATGGCTAGCTTCACTTTATGTGGCGCTTGTGATCGCGAGCGGGGCTTTCGTAGAAGCACCAGTATTGAATTGTTGGGGAGCTACCCGTAGTGGCCATTTGAACGCGTTCGTTATGGCTACGCAAAGATTGCTGCAGTTCCATAGCAAACACAATAATGAATATCGAGACTTTTGAGAAGACATTATACAACATAACTTATAATTCAGAAGCGCCTAAAGGATTTTAACGTTTGAAGTCCAGACATCTTCATTTTGAGTAGTTGTATGCTTAGCAAAGGCCGTCACCAACTCTGACAGCTACATTTTTATGCGACAGAGATGATGAAGACTCCTCCAGTGTTAACTTTATATGATTTACTTATGACGAAAAGCACATTTCGCTCTTATTTTGCTTATGACGCACACACTCCATTATTTTGTAAAGCATTGTGCATGAAGTAAGTATCTTGATAAGTTGTAATGATGACGATGGCAACATAAAGTATCACTCTGTTGACTGTTACACAAGGAATCTGACTCATTATGCTGTTCATCACGTTTATATTGCCAGCCGAAGGAGCGGGGGATTTTCACAAATGCGCTATTGTAAGCATCTTGGCTCCCGAATCGAGATAAATAAACCAGAGTAGAGATTTGGACAATTTCAGCACTTGATAAGATGTTGCTATTCAGAACTTTAAATAGACTGCGAGCGGCTTGTTGTATCTCGGGCTTTACGGAATCAATAAGAAAGCCGACACCCTCCATGAAATGATACGCAAATTGATCCAGTTATTGTCGTTAAATCGTGAAAGGACGCTACGTAGTATACAGACGTCTCCACCACGGTCCTAGAAACGGTAATTGCAACTGCGTTTTCGGACGACACGAGCTCTCTCCGTATGTTGGAAGACGCCAGCAACACAATCCGCGGTTGTATCAATCGCGAAAGCAAAACACAGCAGAGAAAAACGTGGGTACATTATTCAAAGACACCAAGTGTTCATTCACATCCATAAGTTTATCGTAGAGTCCAGTTAGTACATCTTTAAAGGTACTACACGTTTAATCAAGGCTTTTTAAAGCACTATCCCTTCGTCCGATTGAGTGTCCTGCTCCTCATGCACCAACTAATTTGGCCTGAAGCGATAAGATGAATCTTAAAGCTTCTTCATTGACAATGACGATATTGTTGTGTCTTTGACAGACGATCCCCATACCAGCATCGATGCATAAACGAAGCCTCCAACATTAAGCGTCTTTCTACAGGTGGCCCATTCGTAACGTACTCATAAATTGGAGCATAACTTTGTGTGTCGTCATCTCGACAAATGACGACTTACGTGTTTGTTTCATTCACAAACTGCGACAGTTTTGTAGACGGTGCGAGAAAATGTACGGCGCAGAGCTTCAATGGGGACAAGACCGCGTGACGTCAAGCAACATTGCAACCACATTTGGCTCGTTAGCAGGTAGATATGTCTTCCTTATCACCTATCCGATGAGCCATATCGCTTGAGGCCTATCTTTGTAGTATTGAAGACGCAAGATTATCAAGATATAATCTTATAATCTAGCTAGCACCCTGGCTTTTTTTTGAAAATGTTAAGACAAATAATTGTATTAGCATATTTCAAAAAACCTTTCATATCTTAAGGCATGACTTTATGTAAAAAATCATTTTTCAGTATATGCAAAGCATAGAAAAAATTGTTGCTTCTCTTCTGGTTAAGAGTGCCCACCATTCGATTTTACAGTCAATATAGAGACGCAGACAAAGATATGTGCTTCGTTAGCAGGTAGAGTTTTTGCAGAGTAGCGATAAAAAATTGCTGTATGTTTAAAGAATTTATCGCTATATTTCAGAAAATCATCTCAAAAAGTTGATTTCAATGGAGATATTCAAATCATTTTCCAGTAATAAATTATCATAAAACAGTATAACTGTGACGTGGTCGCCAACTGCTTGCCGTAAAGCAGAAGACGATCACGCCTGATTTTGCATAAGATCAATTTTCACATGTCTTATCTCAATCCTACATTCCTATTGGATAATGCTGGAATAATCAACAACATCATACGGTTAATGTTGGAGCGTCAGCATCGACGTTGGCAATTGCTCTTTGGTTGAAAGTCTACGGATAGGCAATTATTCGGTTCCGCAGCCGACGGTACGACAAG